TTCCTCCCACAATTTTTTGAACCCGCTTATGATTCATCAACCCCAAACTCAATCCCAGCCTTCCCTTTGTGGTATGGTACCTTGCAGTACAATTTCAGAGAGATCCATACACTTGAACACAAGTTATTGTCTGGAAACTAGAAAAATGCTTATTTTTGGCCTCTTATTCCTTAACCTTTAAGGCAATTACCCCCAAACTCAAACCCAGCTTTCCCTTTGTGATATGGAACCTTGTAGTACAATTTCATAAAGATCCATACACTTACACACAAGTTATAGTCCTGAAACTAGAAAAATGCTTGTTTTTTGCCCCTTTTTAGTCCCTAATTCCTAAAATTTTGAGGCAATTACCCCCAAACTCAATCCCAGCCTTCCCTTTGTGGTATAATACCTCGCAGTACAATTTCAGAGAGATCCATACACTTGAACACAAGTTATTGTCTGGAAACTAGAAAAATGCTTATTTTTTGCCCCTTTTTGGCCCCTTATTCCTAAGCGTTTTGGGCAATTACCCCCAAACTCAATTCCAGCTTTCCCTTTGTGATATGGAACCTTGTAGTACAATTTCAGAAAGATGCATACACTTACATACAAGTTATTGTCATGAAACAAGAAAAATGCTTGTTTTTTTTGCCCCTTTTTTGGCACCTAATTCCTAAAATTTTGAGACAATTACCCCCAAAATCAATCCCAGCATTCCCTTTGTGATATGGAACCTTGTGGCACAATGTCAGAGAGATCCATACACTAACACACAAGTTATTGTCTGGAAGTTACAAAAATGCTTATTTTTGGCCCCTTTTTGGCCCCTAATTCCTTAACTGTTGGTACCATAACCCTCAAAATCAATCCCAACCTTCCTTTTGTGGTATTGAACCTTTTGGTAAAATTTCATAGAGATCCATTCACTTTAACTAAAGTTATTGTGCGAAAACCAATGTGTCTTCGGACGACGACGCCAATGTCATACCAATATACGACCGCAAAAATTTTTTGCGGTCGTATAAAAACTGCAAAATTTTCTTAAAATTACCAATTCAGGGGCAACAACCCAATAATGGGTTGTCTGATTTGTCTGAAATCTATATTCCCCAATGATGATTATGGCCAAGTTTGGTTTACTTTGGCCCAGTAGTTTCAGAGGAGAAGATTTTTGTAAAAGTTAACAGATGACGAAGGACCCCCAAGTGATGATAAAAGCTCACTTGGCCAGGTGAGCTAAAAATACCTTACATTAGAGCTCTACAATTTTAGTATCATGCCATATTATTAAAATAGTTTCTCTATTACTTTCAATTCCCTGTATATGTAGATGTCTTAAAATTTATGTATTTTATGTCTCTCCTTTGGATTGAAGGATATCAGTTTTAAATAAATTAAAAAGTACAAGTACTAAGCAAGTTGATTGTCTGACCAAATAAATAACAAAGGCAGAAAAAAGTAGCTTATTTGCTTAAACTTTTTCCCCATGCATAGTCAATAATTAGTAAACAAATCTAAAGAATAAAAGGAAAAGGAAAAACTTTGGCACTCAGACTCATGTTATTGTATAGTAAATCAGCTGATTATGTTCTTACCAGCTGCACATGGTCAATCAATTAAAAGCAATAAATTTCGTTAGTTTAAGTGACCACAAATATTTGCTCCCAATCAAGCATTAAATTTCTCTGACCCTAAAATGTTGTGGAACAGCTGAAGTGTAATACCAAGTGTTTTTATGGAGGCTACAAATGTACATGAATACACATAGATCTACATAACATTTATCCATTTTAACTAAACATGTTATTGACAGGCAGTTGGTTGTCTTTTTTAACATTTACATATATATTTACTGGTATACATGTACTAAATTATTATTTACTGAACTTCACAGAGGTTCAGAATATTTTTGTTTTGTTTTGACCCAAATAATGACTTCAGACAAAAATATATATTCCAGTTCAAGGGGAACCATTAGTGGTAGGCCAATGTTAATTGGTGTTCAGTTGTATAAGCATTAGCACATCTCATTTCCATGGAGAATATTTGGCGCCGCCCCCGTCAGTCATGGTCTATTTACTTTGAAACTTTTGCTTAGTTTACATGTATTTAAGTTTGTGATTAGATCAGTTTAAGATGAACTGCTAATGTAAAGTCAATGATATTTGGTATGAACATTTATTGGCATTTGCAAGTATCGTTTCCATGGAGATTATATAGCCCCCACCCCTGATCATGGTTCATTGACTTTGAAACTTTTACATAGTTTACAAGTTAATGTTTGTGTTTATGTTTGTTTAAAGGGAACGACTTATAATAAGTCAATGGTGTTTGGTATGCAGTTGTATTAGCATTGGCACATCTCATTCCATGGAGATTGTTTAGCCATGTACTTTCAGTCATGGTTCATCGACTTTGAATATTTGCATAACTTACATGTTAAAGTATTACTTTTTAAATTTCAACATTTGTATTATCAAAATTACAAAAAGGCGAGACATATCTCTGTGATAACAGTTTATTAAACATTTATTAGATTCATAAACTATCCTGGATTTTTACCAATCTTGGACAGAAGCTTCTTACAATCAAAAGATAGTATCAAGAGGAATATTTTTATTGATTTACTTCCTCATTTTTGTTGAGCCTGCGATTAGGAGAAAAGGTAGGCGAGACACTGGGTTCCGAGGAACCCTTACAAATTTTTTCTAATACTATATGCAATAGGTCAACTATATTTGATGTATGGAAATTTTTTATGATCTACATGTCAGTCTCGCAGGTTTTATTTGACTTTGACCTCATTTTTCATGGTTCATTGCTCAGTGTTAAGTTTTTGTGTTTTGGTCTGTTTTTCTTGAACTATAAGAAATACTTAGTAGGTCAACTATATTTGTTGTACGGAAGGATTGTACATGGTTCATTGGTCAATGCTTAGTTTTCTTGGTTAAGTCTGTTTCTTAGAAACTATAGCAATAGGTCAACTATATTTGGTGAATTAAATGATTGTAAGGTGTACATGTATTTCTTATTATTGGTTAATCTGATCTTGGCCTCATTTTCTTGGATCATGTTAAGTTCATATGAAACTTGTAGTAAAGCTTTATGTTTAGGACTATCAACATAAAATCAATGGTTAATACAGAAGGCAAGACATTTCAGCGTGTGCACTCTTTTTCAGATATTATAAGTGGTGTATGAAATGATTGTAAGGGGTGCATGTCAGTTTGGCAGGTTTCATCCTTGACCTCTTTTTCATGGTTCAGTATTCAATGTTAAGGTTTTGTGTCTTTGTCAGTTTTTCAAATACTATAAGCAGTACCTCAACTATTAGTATATTTGGTGTATGGAATGGTTGTAAGGCTTACATGACTGTCTGGTAGGTATCATCTGACTTTGACCTCTCCTTCATGGTTAATTGGTCAATTGTTCAGTTTTTGTGTTTTGGTCTGTTTTTAAAATACTTAAAGCAGTAGGTCAACTATATTTGATGTATAGAATGATTGTAAGGTGTACATATATACAAAAGAGGATTTGGTATGATTGCCAATGAGTCAACTCTTCACAAGAGACCAAATGACACAGTAATTAACAGCTATAGGTCACAGAACAGCCTTCAACAATGAGCAAAGCCCATACTGCATAGTCAGATATAAAAGGCCCCGAAATCACAAATGTAAATAAATTCAAACGAGAAAACAAAGCCCTAATTAATGTACAAAAAAAATGAACGAACAACAAACGACAACCACTGAATTACTGGTTCCTGACTTGGGACAGGCACATACATACAGAATGTGGCAGGGTTAAACATGTTAGCGGGATCCTAGCCCTCATAAATTCATATATTTTAGAAATTCTCAAGAAAATCTGTTATATTATAGAAATGTTATTAACATCAACAATATTAAATGTTGTACTTAAAATTGAGAATGGAAATGGGGAATGTGTCAAAGAGACAACAACCCGACCATAGAGCAGACAACAGCCGAAGGCCACCAATGGGTCTTCAATGCAGCGAGAAACTCCCATACCCGGAGGCATCCTTCAGCTGGCCCCTAAACAAATATGTATACTAGTTCAGTGGTAATGGACGTCATACTTAACTCCAAATTATACACAAGAAACTAAAATTAAAAATGATACAAGACTAACAAAGGCCAGAGGCTCCTGACTTGGGACAGGCGCAAAAATGCGGCTGGGTTAAACATGTTTTTTGAGATCTCAACCCTCCCCCTATAACTCTAGCCAATGTAGAAAAAACAAACGCACAGTAAAACTCAGTTTAAGAGTTGTCCGAGTCCGATGTCAGAATAGAAAAACAAAAGAAAATAAACAAAATGACAATAATACATAAATAACAACAGACTACTAGCAGTTACTGACATGCCAGCTCCAGACCTCAATTAAACTGAATGAAAGATTATGTCTTCATCATATGAATATCAGGCACAATCCCTCCTGTTAGGGGTTGAGTATTATACCATCATAAAATATATGAGAAGAACATAACCCGTGTCATGCCAACAACTGGTTTTAGAATAAATATGTTAAATTCCGATGCAAAGCCCCTATAAGTGAATCAATATTAAAGCCAAAGTATGCAATCTTTAATGACCTGACAACAGTATCATAACTATATCCCTTCTTAATAAGTCTGTTTAAAGGTTTAACTATATTTGATTTATGCTTTTACATTAATATTTTAATTCCCTTATTGCTTTAAAATTTATTATATGTTTTTTCTCATGGCAGCTCTAATATAAAAATGTATTTTTCTTTGAAGTTCATTATCTTCTTCATTTCTTAACACTTGTTATACACCTCTTTTTCTATAGCCATTATTATTATAGCTGGTCAGTGGTCATAAACCTATGAAAATGAGTCAATTATTTAACCACAGAGCACTACCCACAGGTTCTTATCCTGTGTATTTGATGAATAATTTTAAAACTAATTTTCATCAAAACTCATTAACAGGGCAAGATATGGTTATTTATTTTTCTTCTGTGGTTTTAGAATATTAAGTAACAAAATGAAAATGATATTTCGATAAACATGTTGTTGTCTTTGTATTAATTGTGTTCTCATAAACCATCAGATTAGTATGTACTGTACTGCAATAAAAAAAACATGAATCAATATCAGGGAACTTGAAGTAATTGAAAACCAATTCCGTATATATAGTTGGCTATAAAAGGGCCGGACATGTACAAACTTAATTAGGGTTCTGAAGAAATGTTCGATTGCCTATAATTGCCTACATCCACTTCATTTTAACTCTGACAGATAGTTGTCTCTGGCTGTCATTAGTCTGTAGGTTTGGTTTAAATTACTTCAAGTAATTAGTTCCCTGATATTGATTCATGTTTTTTTTATTGCAGTACAGTACATACTAATCTGATGGTACTAGTTCAAAACCCAAACTGCACTCTAACTTTACTTTGCCTCAACCAAGTGTTATGAAACTTATACACAATGCTTATTAACACCAAACACTGATCAAGTTTGGGTGTTGTCTCTTTTACCATTCTCATATTATGTTACTTTATTAATAAAAAAAATTGATAAATTTGAGATATATTTACAAGCAGGGACATCTGTGTTTCATTGACACATTCTTGTTTTATTTATTACATGTTTTAGTGTATTAAAAGTAATTATACTACTTCCACCTTTCAAAATTCTAACAAAGCTCTACCTCTTTAATGGATAAATAAATGATACTAGTCAAGAACTCAACAGATATTTTTTTTTCAGGTTCTCTGGTCGTTCATACTTGTTGGCCACACACATGAAGATATTGATCCTGCTTTCAGCTAATATCAGAAAAATTAAGAACAAAGGATGCTGAAACTGTGCAGTCACTGTTCAGGATTATTCCAGATGTTTAAAAAGTGAAATTATAATACAATATATGTTACTGGTTAATTCCTATGATTAGTAATTTTAAACAACACACAGAGACTTTGCATTATTGTTTTACAAGAGCGACACCAAAAGATGCAGTCAACATTTATCATTTTTATCAAAATACACCCAGGACAAACCATGGATACACTTAGCTTGAAATTTGGTGCTTTCTTACCAAAATTGCCTGGACGTAAAAGAAATGAAGAACCTAAATTCATGACAACAATCAGGAGATACCAGAAGAACTAGTATAAATGGTTAAAGATGAAAGAATGCAGAATAAGGTACTGTCATATTCAGTCTTAATAAGAGTCCTGCTGCTTTATATATATATATATGCATTTTTTTATGCCCCATCGTAGCAGAGGGAGCATTAAGTTTTACCCTTGTACGTCTGTACATAATTTGATATAAGAAGATGTGGTATGAGTGCCAATGAGACATTAACTCTCCATCACAATTTGTAAAAGAAAAACCATTATAGGTCAAAGTACGGTCTTCAACACGGAGCCTTGGCTCACACCGAACAGTTAGCTATAAAAGGCCCCAAAAATGACTAGTGTAAAACCATTCAAACGGGAAAACCAACGGTCTAATCTATATAAAAAATTCGTAAGGGTTCCGCGGAACCCAGTGTCTCGCCTACTTTTGCTGTTAATCGCAGGCTCAACAAAAATGAGGAAAAAAATCAATAAAAATATTCCTTTAGATACTATCTTTTGATTGTAAGAAGCTTCTGTCAAAGTTTGGTATAAATCCAGGATAGTTTATGAATCTAATAAATGGTTTAAAAACTTTAACTGCAGACTGTATTTAATGTTAACTGGAAGAAAAACTAAGTCCATTTATAAGTAAAATACAGATAAACAGGTACAAATTTTAACAAAATTTCCTTCTAGATACTAGCTTTTGATCATAAACAAGCTTCTGTCCAAATTTGGTACAAATCCAGGATAGTTTAAGAAAGTTATTAAAATTTTAAAAACTTTAACCACAGAGTGAATGTATTGTTTCCTGGCAGAAAAACTAAGTCCATTTATAAGTAAAATAAGGAAAAAATGAAATTTTTTTTTTAACAAATTTACTTCTGGATACTATCTTATGATCATAAACAAGCTTCTGTCCAAGTTTGGTACAAATCCAGAATAGTTTAAAAAAAGTTATTAAAATTTTAAAAACTTTAACCACAGAGTGAATGTAATGTTTCCTGGCAGAAAAACTAAGTCCATTTATAAGTAAAATACGGAAAAAATGAAATTTTTTTTTTAACAAATTTACTTCTGGATACTATTTTATGATCATAAACAAGCTTCTGTCCAAGTTTGGTACAAATCCAGGATAGTTTAAGAAAGTTATTAAAATTTTAAAAACTTTAACCACAGAGTGAATGTAATGTTTCCTGGCAGAAAAACTAAGTCCATTTACAAGTAAAATACGGAAAAACAGGAATTTTATTTTCACAAAATTTACTTCTGGATACTATCTTATGATCATAAACAAGCTTCTGTCCAAGTTTGGTAGAAATCTAGGATAGTTCAAGAAAGTTATTAAAATTTCAAAAACTTTAAGCACAGAGTGAATATTTGTGGACGCCGACGACGACGCCGACGGAATGTAGGATCGCTATGTCTCGCTTTTTCGACTAAAGTCGAAGGCTCGACAAAAATGAGAAACAAGAAACACTTATGAACCACATCAACAAACCACAACTACTGATCATCAGGTTCCTGACTTAGGACAGGTGCAAACAAATGCAGAGGGTTTAAACGTTTTAATAGGTACCAACCTTCACCCTTACCCGAAACAATAGTGTAACATCACAACATAGAAAGACACAGTATAAATGGAAAACAAATATTTTTTACAAATAAATAATTTTGTTGTTCATAGTACGAGAAACAGAAGTAAAATTTTAAAGTCATACTAAATACTTATCAAAGCAGCTGGTATATTGCAAAAATATAGAAACATTGAATAACAAAAAACATTACGATTGTATCAACAGGTCAACATGAAAGTACGATTTGAGAGTACTCGCAGTTACGTATACTGAAAGCTAGTTAAAAGCCAAAATTAATCAATTAATAATAAAAAAATCATGCATCAGAGACTAAAATCAACTAAAACACATCCCAGGAATTAAGTATTTAATATCATGGACAGTCAAAGAAGACAATTGACTTGTGCAATGCCAAAAATAAAAGTATCGACAGGCTGACTCACTAGGATAATTATGTTAACCTCTATATAGAAAAAAATAATGTGGATGTGTATTTATACATCCCACTTAAAAAAAATACAAATTTAGTTGATGTTTTAATTTGCTGATGACAAAATCGTTATTTGTGCTAATGTAAACTATAATCAAAGATCTTAAATTACAACATTTGTAAGATACATGTAACCTTTACTAATAAGTTTGTTTAAAGGTTCGATGAGTTTACATAAATCACACAGTGATTTCCGTGCTTTTAGTACAATATTACTGTAAAATTTAGGATGTGAAATACCGTTTTTTGTCGAGCCTGCGACTTTTGTCGCAGAAAGCTCGACATAGGGATAGTGATCCGGCGGCGGCGGCGGCGGCGGCGTTAGCTAACTTCTTAAAAGCTTTATATTTTAGAGGGTGGAAGATCTGGATGCTTCATACTTTGTATATGGATGCCTCATGTTACGAAGTTTCCGTCAGTCACATGTCCAATGTCCTTGAACTCATCTTCATGGTTCAGTGACTACTTGAAAAAAAAGTTAAGATTTTTTGTAATGTTAAATTCTCTCTTATTATAAGTAATAGGGTAACTATATTTGGTATGTGCGTACCTTGCAAGGTCCTCATGCCCGTCAGACAGTTTTCACTTGACCTCGACCTCATTTCATGGATCAGTGAACAAGGTTAAGTTTTCGTGGTCAAGTCCATATCTCAGATACTATAAGCAATAGGTCTAGTATATTCGGTGTATGGAAGAACTGTAAGGTGTACATGTCCAACTGGCACGTGTCATCTGACCTTGACCTCATTTTCATGGTTCAGTGGTTATAGTTAAGTTTTTGTGTTTTGGTCTGTTTTTCTTATACTGTATGCAATAGGTCTACTATATTTGGTGTATGGAATGATTGTAAGGTGTACATGTCTAGCTGGCAGGTGTCATCTGACCTTGACCTCATTTTCATGGTTCAGTGGTCAAAGTTAAGTTTTTGAGTTTTGGTCTTTTTTTTCTAATACTATATGCAATAGTTCAACTATATTTGGTGTATGGAAATATTTTATGATCTATATGTCAGTCACTAAGGTTTTATTTGACCTTGACCTCATTTTCAAGGTTCATTGCTCAGTGTTAAGTTTTTGTGTTTTGGTCTGTTTTTCTTATACTGTATGAAATAGGTCTACTATATTTGGTGTATGGAATGATTGTAAGGTTTACATGTCTAGCTGGCAGGTGTCATCTGACCTTGACCTCATTTTCATGGTTCAGTGGTCAAAGTTAAGTTTTTGAGTTTTGGTCTTTTTTTCTAATACTGTATGCAATAGGTCTACTATATTTGGTGTATGGAATGATTGTAAGGTGTACATGTCTAGCTGGCAGGTGTCATCTGACCTTGACCTCATTTTCATGGTTCAGTGGTCAAAGTTAAGTTTTTGAGTTTTGGTCTTTTTTTCTAATACTGTATGCAATAGGTCTACTATATTTGGTGTATGGAATGATTGTAAGGTGTATGTCTAGCTGGCAGGTGTCATCTGACCTTGACCTCATTTTCATGGTTCAGTGGTCAAAGTTAAGTTTTTGAGTTTTGGTCTTTTTTTCTAATACTGTATGCAATAGGTCTACTATATTTGGTGTATGGAATGATTGTAAGGTGTACATGTCTAGCTGGCAGGTGTCATGTGACCTTGACCTCATTTTCATGGTTCAGTGGTTATAGTTAAGTTTTTGTGTTTTGGTCTGTTTTTCTTATACTGTATGCAATAGGTCTACTATATTTGGTGTATGGAATGATTGTAAGGTGTACATGTCTAGCTGGCAGGTGTCATCTGACCTTGACCTCATTTTCATGGTTCAGTGGTCAAAGTTAAGTTTTTGAGTTTTGGTCTTTTTTTTCTAATACTATATGCAATAGTTCAACTATATTTGGTGTATGGAAATATTTTATGATCTATATGTCAGTCACACAGGTTTTATTTGACCTTGACCTCATTTTCAAGGTTCATTGCTCAGTGTTAAGTTTTTGTGTTTTGGTCTTTTCTTAAACTATAAGCAATAGGTCAACTATATTTGTTGTATGGAAGAATTGTGAGCTGTACATGCCTGCCTAGCATGGTTCATCTGACCTTGACCTCGTTTTCATGGTTCATTGGTCAATATTTAGTTTACTTGGTTAATGTTAAGTTTATGTGACAGTTGTAATAAAGCTTTATATTTAGGACTATCAACATAATATCAATGATTAGTAAAGAAGGCGAGACATTTCAGTGTGTGCACTCTTGTTATAAGTTTTCTACAGGAACAGCCAAATTTACTAATCAAATCTTTGTATCTATGAAAGAATTTAGTAAAAGTTTTAAGTAATTTATGGTACTAACGAAATCCCTGACTTAATAATTTACCAGTGTAAGTCTGTACGTCCTATTAATTGGTTTCTGTTCTCTAACTTTAGTTTGCCTCAACCAAATGTTATGAAACTTATACATTGCTTATTAACAACAAACCACAAATCAAGTTTGAATTTTGGTAGCGTCACTTTTACCATTCTAGATCTAGAGTTATGCCTCTTTACAAATGGAAAAATTGCTGATTTTTTTTGTGTCCGTTCTCTAACTTTAGTTTGCCTGAACCAAATATTATGAAACTTATACACAATGCTTATTACCACAAAACAAAGATCAAGTTTGAATGTTGGTGGCCTCACTTTTACTGTTCTAGAGTTATGCTCCTTTACAAATAGAAAAATTGCCAAATTTTTATACGCCAGTTTACGGGACGTATTATGGTATACCGTTGTTCATCCATCCGTCTGTCGTGAACATGTCTGACAATCAAAAACGTCTGAACCAATTTACATGAAACTTTGGTGAATTAGTTATATCTATTGACGTGCACTCCCTTTCGTTTTTTATAAATTTTAGATTTTAAGTTTCCAAGTTTTGGGTTTTTTTTCATTAAAAAGGGGGGAATTTCCAGTTTTTCGGACAATAACTCAAAAAAAATTCACCAATTTGCAAGAAACTTTGGTGATTTGTTTATATCGATTGACATGATCTCCCTTTCCATTTTTATAAATTCAAGATTTTACGTTTCCGAGTTATGGAGTTTTATTCATTAAAAAAGGGTGAATTTCCATTTTTCGGACAATGACTCTAAATGCTTTCTGCAGTTTTCATGAAACTTTAGTGAATTGTTTATATCTATTGACTTAAGCTCCCTTTTGATTTTTGATCAATTTTAGGTTTTAAGTTTTGGAGTTATGTGATTTTATTCATAAAAAGGGGGGATTTTCCTGTTTTCGGGCAATGCTTTGAGCAGTTATCATGAAACTTTGGTTACTGGTTGTATCTTTTAAGATAACCTCCCTTTAGTTTTTTATGAATTTCTGATATGACATTAAGAAGTTATTGATCTTTATTCTTTGAAAAAGTGATGGGCATATATCATGCACTCATGGTGCAGCTGTTTATTCATTTTAGTTCACTATAAACTTAAGTTTGCTTAATCAAATGTTCAAAAACTTATACACAATGCATATTACCACAAAACTCAGATCAAGTACTCATTTGGGTACTGTGTGTCACTTTTACCATTCTTGATTTATGACCCTTTTATATGCAAGAGGGGGCATCATCTAGATCTGTGTCCCATGGACACATTCCCCATTTATTTATTCACAGAATTTTTGAAAGGAATAAATAATACATGATTTTCACATAGATAAAACATATTGTTACAAGAATGTATACCTGTTAAGAGCAGATGAAATGCAACTCAACAACAGAAAAATTAAATAAACAGCATAGATGCAGTTTTGACCTATACTTGTATAAAAATAAGGAGATGGTGCATGATTGCCATTGAGACAACTATCCACCAAAGTTTGAATAAAGTGGATGTAAGCAGTTATAGGTAACTGTACAGACTTCTACAATGAGAAAAACCCATACTGTATAGTCGGCTATAAAAGGCCCCGAGAAATCTAACGGCCTAATTTATAACAAAACAAGTAGCGAAAATCAAATATATAACATACATATAAAACCAACGACTTCCATGGAAGTATTGGCTCCTGACTTGGGACAGGCACATAAAGAATGTGGCAGGTTAAACAAGTTTTTGAGTGCTCAACCCTACCCTAACCTCAGTCAGGGGTACTACTTGTAAAAGTAATTTTTATTTACTTGAAGAAGTAATTATAATATACTTATATAAGTAAATTTGTAGGATACTTATACAAGTGTATTTTATTTACTTGTATAAGTAAATTATTTTTTGGCCTAGTTATGTCCCTTAGACATTCAGATTTTTTTACTTATACAAGTAAAAAAGTCATCCTATCTTCTTTTCTTGAATTCTTAGTACTTCTTTGCTCTGACAGAATTTTGAATTGTCTGTCCTTTGCAGATGTCTTGACTATTCATTTAAGTGTAATTTCATGGACAATGAAAATCTCATATGTCTGTTATTTTAGAACACTGCTCATTTACAAGCCCCCAAGGAGCAAGTTTTGAAGGCCTTGCGCAAATACTTAAGATCTTTGCTCAATCAGATTCTTTGTTGAATTAATGAGATGAAATATTGAACTCTTATCAAAAATTATGAGCTAACCTGAGAAAAATTGTTAAAGGCATGATTTTACATCTCAAAACTTGAGAATTTTTGTGGGATTGTAAAAAAAATTAATTTTTATAGAAAATTAAGGGGAGATTATTCAAACAATATAGTTAACTTGTATAAGTATATTTTATTTACTTCTTCAAGTTAATAAAGATAACTTGTACAAGTAGTACCCCTGACTGAACCTGGGACAGTGGTGTTACAGCACAACTTAAGAACAAACTATAAAAATCAGTTGAAAAGGTTTCATCATACTTTTATAGGTCAACTGTCTTGAAATGATTAACAAGTGATTGTAGAATTTAATAAACATCTCAATTGTCAATTGAAAAGCCAAAAACAAATAAACATCTACTATCGACATCAAATTCCCTAAAAACAAAAGCTTTAAGATACAACTTTAGGTGACAGGAAAAGTCTTGACTTTGGATAGGCACATGGACTTGCAGTAGTTTCTGAAAACTCAATATAGCTCCCCTTTAAATCTTGATCAGTATTTGTAAAATGAAAAAAAGGTTACATAGAAGAATGCAGGTTGCCAGTAACATTCAATTGGAGAAAGGGAAAAGATTACTCAACTCTACACTGAAATAATTTTGAAAACTATTAATGGCTATACTATCTTTATTGTAAAAAAATGTTGGAAAAGTTATGTACCTTATGATCATTTTGATTGTGTGAAACGTCACACAAGGCAATCAAAATGTTCAGAGGGAGAAATGAAGTTTTGTTATAAATGTCAAGTGTGATAGTCTCAACCTATCAACATGATCAAAATTGTTGACCTCACTATTAATATTTACATTTAGCATGTACAGTGGAATAGAATGTTTTTGTTATCTTTTATTAAATGTTATTTTACTTTGCTCTTATAGGCAGGATTGAAAGAAAGAAAGAACTAGTCATCAGTAAAGAAACAGATCAATTTATATAACATGTAATAATTCCATCTGAATATAACAAACATTGCACATGTTATGAAGATTTGTTCACATGTCTACTCTGATTTGTAGTTATGCATTTGTAATATTATATAGTACATGTATTTTATTTTAGAACAGTATTTTTTTTTTTGCTGTGGAGAAGATCAAAGAAATTTAGAAAAATATAATTAAAGATAGTTTCTTCCATTTTTTCTGTGACAAAAAAAAATTGTGCAAATTAGGACAATGAAATGAGGCTATATTATTAAATATTTTTGAGTTTTATTTTTTTTTACATCCTATTTTAAAATTTCATTGGCATTTGAAGTAATGAGTTGAAACCAGTTTTTATCAATCATTTTGTTTTCAAGATGTATAAACAGTACAGTAGGTTAAGTCTTTGGGGTACATTAGTTTACTATGATGTTAAGGTCAAATAAACTTGAAACTTTGTACTTACAAGTGTTCATTATGAAGTCATTTTTGTAAAATAATTACAAATAAGTTACTGAACATGGAAATATGATTGTGAGAGCAGGGTATAATGTGTTATGGACACACATCTCAATCCCATAGAGCACCACCCTCTCAGTAACCTAATGGTATATATTGACTTTGAAAATTTCCTTAGTTTACACTGTAAGGTTTGTGATAAGTTCAGTTTAAGGAGAACCATTAATAGTATGTTAGGGATATTTTATTTGCAGTTGAATAAGCTTTTGGACAACGCATGTGCTTGGGGATTTTTTTTACCTTGAACCCTCAATCATGGTCTAATAACTTAGAATCTTTTGCAAAGTTTACATGTTAAAGTTTATGCTTAGGCCAGTTGAAAAGCGACCACTTATCAGAGGCGGATTTAGAGGGGGCCTGCCCCCCCCCCCTCCTTTGTGGGACAAATTTGGTTGATTATATAAAGGGAATCACTGAAGCATGACAAAAGAGATGCAGTAGAGAGCAACCTTTATATTTCTTAGAAAATACTTTTTTCAGAACTGTAATGAAAAGTATGCTTAAAACAAAATTCATATTTTTTTTCAGTTAAACACATATTTTTTATGAATCATAATATTTCAACAAATGTTTGAAACAAATTAACATAAAAACTTTCTAAATGTATAAAAATTCTGTGTTGTAAAATCTTATCAATTTTATTTTTCGGGATTTTTCCCAATATGTTTAAGAAATCTGTAGCATAATTTTTGCTTGTAGATTTTATTTCGGGATTTTTCCCGAAATGGGTAAAAAAATCTATGCAACAAGTGTGTGCTTGATAATAGATTTATATTTTCGGGATTTTTCCCGAAATGTGAAAAGAAATTATTAGTCATGAGTTCTAGCATATACTTTGGGTTTTCGGGATAAATCCCGAAATATTTGAAGACATCTGTGTTATACATTTTGCACTTAGTTTATTTTTGTTGGGATTTTTCCCGAAATGTGTTTCAGATCTATTTGTCAAAATGCTTTGCCAACATATATGTTATAAATAATAATGTTGAAAATGATTTCGGGACATTTCCCGAATAAAAAGTTGTCACATACATCTTTACCACAAATATTTTGAAACTTTAATATATTTTGGGAAATTTCCCGAAAATTAAATGTAAGTTTTATCAATTAAATGAATAAAAACATGGAATATTGTAAAAATTGTGTGTTTCTTTATGAAATCTGCATTCATTTATGGTAAACATTGAAAAATATTATAAAAAGGAATAAAATGGATTTTACTCTTTTAAAATAGAGTCAGTTATATGTAGAAAAATCAATATGTAAAAATGTTATAAATATAGCAAAATCACAAACTATCAACGACTATGGTGGTAGAATTACGAAATTTTCTAAGGATCAAAGCTTGACGTAATAATTTACCAATCATAAATTTTATTGTATCAATACATTTATCCAGCTTATCCGGAATATGTATTACAAATGAAAATGACGGTTTGTGTGTGTTTGTTTGTTTTGTTTTTGTCCCTTTTTTTTTTTTTTTTTAATAAATTGTTTAATAGTCAATACCAGTTGTCCGGTTTATTGACTAGAATCGTACCAAATTTCAGTAAATTGAAATATATTCATGTATGAATTATTGAAAAGTCAATACCAGTTGTCCGGTTTATTGACCAATATTCAATAATGAAAAATTTTCATACATGTAACAGTTCAAGCTTGTGTGTGGTTTTATTTTATTTAGTTTATATAAATTTCTGTTTACTATCACACAAATACTGTTAAAATGTATTTATTTCAACTGCACAACTTCTTAAAGTTAATATTCTAACTCATAAGAAACATATTTGATTTATATATACTGTGCAAATTGTAAACAACACAGTTGTCTCCCTTCACTGTTTCAAATATATATTGAAAAAGTGCAACAAACTTCACTTCACTGTTTATATAACTACAGTGGAGCAAAACAATAATTGTTTTATGTGTATTGGGACATAAATATGTATTGTATACGAATTATAAATCGCGAGAAACTCAAAATTCAAATCCGATAAATTTGACAATTTCCCCGCGAAAACTTGCATGAAATTCTAATGACAATTTCAGGTATTTTTTGCGGTTTCAGATGTTTTTACATCTGACACCAATGTAGCGATTATGGTTGGGCGTGTAATGCAATATTACCTGAATATCTGACTCAAGTTCTCCTAGAATAAGCTTATTATAACACAACTCTGCAGTCTTAGAGAAAGCGAACTGTCTTGCTTGAAGCTTGGAAAATAGAAGTGAGGCTCTGCCTGGTTCCTGTCTGGTTCCCGGTTTCAGATATCATATTCCTCCTATATTGGAGAACCGCTAAAGCGGTGTATCAATCATCCAACGGCACCACAACATTGTGAATTTTTAAGTTGGCTATAATGACTTTGTATTGTATACACTTCGACACAGATTTTGAAGTTTCATACAATATCAAATGAGTATACAGGGTAACTGCAAAATTTAGAAGGATTTTGATTGATTGTTTAGAAAACTATTTAGGGTCTTGATTATGAGGTTTTTTTTTAATAAGCATGGGTAAAAGAGTAGTCAGACGTTATGAATCCAAGATCGTGTCTATATATATAGGTTGAATTCCCAATTTTTTAGGAAAATTTCCAATTTTTTATTTAGGAGACTTATTTTAATAGAGTAATATTGTCCCGCAAATATCTAAAAGCATATAAAAAATGGAGAGTTAAATCTTTATATTAAATCATATAACTTTGTATTTATAGAGATTATTAGTCAAATTTGTATGCCCTGCCTATGATAGAGGAGGAGCATTATGTTTTCTGATATATTAGTCTGTCCAGTATTTGGTCAAGAGAAGATGTGGTCACATGAACTTTAAACTTATCTGGTACACACGTTCGTTATGAAGTGACATACTGTGGATTCATTATTTGTGGAATACTATTTTACGTGGATTTAGTGTGTCAAGGTAAACAATGAATTTAAACGTTCAATCAGGTATACGTTTTCTATATATACATGATATAAGGCCAAGAAAAATATATATATATGTCTGTTTCCTGTCTCCAACCATTTTAAAATGGGGTCGGTCGGTAGGATTTAATTTTAATTTTTTCATTTTATTTTACTTATTTGCATGTTGTCAAAAAATGTTTTCTCCACGTTCTGTCTTGTTTTACACTTTATATGCATCCAGTAATTTGTGCATGCGTAATGATATGCATTGATCTTATTACAAAATTGAGTGAATCATCCAATGGAAATTGGATTCATAGTCAAATAAGAACACATATTCTTGAATTTTTTTGGAAAAGCAATAAAAATATTTAAAGGTGAGGGATCAAACTTAGGGTTGGCTGGGAGACAGGAAACAAGCATATACTTTTTTTTTTTTGGTCTAAGCTTGTATGAAGACATCACGAAATCAAATATCCAAGAAAATACAAGTTTTCCTCAATCGACGAAAATTGGTAGGTGTACCCACAAAAATAACTACATCCATAGTATATGCTAATTTAGGGTTTTGACTCTGATTTTGGGGTTAACGAAACATGGAATTCTGATCAGTGTATAGCGTCGGACTATTCTTGTTTTTATATCTTTTGAAATTGACATGATATATACTTACAGAAGAGAACCAGAGAGTGTGTGGATTTGTACTGCCATACGTTTTTACAGTAATACAGCAACAAGATTCAGATGTCATAAGACCATTGCTCTCATTCATCAGGTTTACAGTGGCAAACAATGGTAAGCACAAGTCACAGGTATTCTACAAGTCAAGAATATTCCACACTCAGTCACAGATATTCCACAAGTCACATAAAGTAATCGCTTTGTCAGTCTGTGTGTCCGAATTAAATGGTTTCTGGTTAATAACGAGTTTTTCTTGCTTGATTGGAATAAAATTTATACAGTAGAAAGGGGAATAGATGTCAAAAGGTGAGGGTCACTGTAACTCAAAATATGTATTTTTTTAGTTGGTTTCTGCATTGTTTCCAACTAAAAATTGTAACAATTATACAGGCTGAATATTAGTAATAATACAACTTGATAATTTTTCCCTCCAAGCATACTAGTATTTAAATCTTTGAAATAAGAATGTTTTTTTGCAATAAATGTGCAGTTCAGGAGCATCAGCTGGCTGTTTTTGACTTGATTGCAGAATGCGAGACATATAAAGATATTACAATCTGGCGTTGACGGCATAAACTATTTGTTTAAAGCTTTATATTTTAGAAGGTAAAAGACTTGGATGATTCATACTTTGTATACGGATACCTTTTGTTACGAAGTTTCCGTCTGTCATATATCCATTGTCCTTGACAGCATTTATATGGTTCAGTGACTACTTGAAAAAAAAAAAAAAAAAGTATTTTGTCAAGAGAAATACTCACTTATTATGTGTAATAAGATAACTATATTGATATATGGGTTCCTTGCAAAGTCTACATATCCATCAGGTAGGGTTCACCTGACCTTGACCTCATTTCAGTGATCAAAGTTACTTACATGGTCAAGTCCGTATATGATAAACTATAAATTAGGTAAACTATATTTGGTGTATGGAATGACTGTAAGGTGTACATGTACGACTGGCAAGTTTTACCTGACGTTGACCTTATTTTGAGGGTTCAGTGGACAATGTTTAGTTTTTGTGGTTTGGTCTTTTTCTCATATATTATAAGCAATAGGTCAACTTTATTTGGTGTATGTAAAGATTGACAGGTGTACATGTCTGTCTGGCAGGGTTCATATGACCATGACTTCATATTCATAGCTATATATATAACATTGACAATGTTAAATTTATTTGATAGTGATACTTGTAGTAAAACCTTCATATTACAGACTTTCAATTTAAATTCAATGATGAGTAAAACAAGTGAGACATTTCACTTAAGATTTAGATTGATTGATTGATTATTAATTGCTTAAAGTCCAGTGTTTAAGATTTAGAGTTTGATTCAATATTGAATTGAGACTTTTCAATTGTGGAGTTTTACATCAAGATCTCTTGTTTTTCTTGTGTTATTGGGTTCCTGTCTCATGAGCATTCCTTTTATTCATAGAAAAAAACACAGGAAGAGATTGCATACATTTAACTCTTGACACTGCATATACATTTGCATATAGGTATTAGCAATTAGAAAAATACCAAAAAAACTAACTTCTGGCTCAAAATGTATTTAATTTTGTAGTTGGTTTATATTAGTAAAGATGTATATATGTGCATTACTTTTAACTAAAAGAATTTGTTATTGAATAAACCAAATGAATAAAAATCTTAAAATGGATATCAGTAGTCAGTAACTGATGGTAACAGTGTGACCTATACAGATTCTCTCTTTGCTGCAAGAGGTAACAATCAGTGGGTAAATTTTAGATTTAGTGATCTTGTTCAAACCTAGAATTCAATTATCAAGATTTGAGAAGCATATTGTAACTCACAAGCTAACAGAAGGAGAATTTGTTTAGCCCACATGTTTCAGTCTCTCAATTAGAAAAAAAATCTAAGCAGGTTCCTGAATGATCAAATGACATTTACAAACAGTAGTGTGTCATTGCACAAATTAAATGCTTATAGAAGCTGACATTTTATTACCCACAATTCCAGTTTGTTGTTTCTGATTTCTTTTTCAGACACAAACCAGGAACAAGTAAAAAGATGTGGAGGACTCAATGTGTTGTCAGATAAGCTCAACCAGTGTATAGGGAAACCTATTGACAGATTGTCGATTCAAGTTATCAATACTATTGATTCTTGTATTACAGACAATGGTATGATTTTGTGTGATGGATTGATTTATATATATATATATATATACTGTAAATTCAGAAATTATTTTGATGTCTTTATTATGTCTAAAAATTTTAACAGGATAGGTTTCGCAAAATTAAAAACTTGTATTTTAAATTTTGCAGGCGCTTGTATGCAGCATTTCCTGAAATCTCAATAATTAATATAGCATATTTATACGTCCGTTTATGGTATACCGTTGTCCGTCGTCAACATGTCGGACAATAACTCAAAAACACTTTAACCAATTTGCATGAAACTTTGGTGAATTGTTTATATCTGTGCTCCCTTTCGATTTTTATAAAATTTAGATTTTACGTTTCCGATCAAGAGTTATGGGGTTTTATTCATTAAAAACAGGGGATTTTCCAGGTTTCGGACAATAACTCAAAAGTGCTTTGAGCAGTTTTCATGAAACTTTGGTGAATTGTTTATATTAATTGACTCGAGATCCTTTTCAATTTTTATAAATTTTAGATTTTACGTTTTTGAGTTATGGGGTTTTTTTCTATTAAAAAGGGGGATTTTCAAGTTTTCCAACAATAACTCAAAATTACTTTGAGTGGTTTTCATGAACCTTTGGTGAAGTGTTTATATCTATTGACGTGAGCTCCCTTTCGATTTTTATAAATTTTAGATTTAACGTTTCCGAGTTATGGGGTTTTATTCATTAAAAAAGGGTGATTTTCCAGTTTTTGAAAAATAACTCAAAAGTGCTTTGAGCACTTTTCATGAAACTTTGGTGACTGGTTTATATCTATTAAAATAACCTTCCTGAATTTTTTTTATAAATTTCTGAAATGACATTGAGGAGTTATGGAACTTTATTCTTAAAAAAAGAGCGACGGGTGTATCATGCGCTCATGGCGCAGCTCTTTATTGTTCATTCTTCAACAATAGGAATAATGGATAAGTGCAAGCAATAATTTCTGAATTTACTGTACTTGCTGTAAACATTAGATAGTACACAAATTAAATGTCTACATAATTTGTAGTTTTAGGACAGAAAATTCCTGGTATTAATTTAATGGAGTATGGTCATTTCCATGTAAACCTTTTAAATTTTGATATGCAGTTTCTCATATCAAAATTGGAGTCAATTTTGATTAGTACAATTTTCACTTGCTGTTCAAGAGTTGAGGCACTTCATATATTTAACAATGACGCACATAAATGTATAACAGTTGGTATATTGTCATGTTGATGTCCTCTTATTGTTTTTTTACCTTATGACAGAGAATTTGTTGTAACGTTTTAACCAAATTGCATATTGTCAGAATTTTTTTTTTTGTAGTGGAGAATGCAGAAGAAATTGGGAGATTAGAGACAGTAAAAACAATGGTCAAATTACTGGATACAGACAAAATAACTCAAGAGGAAAAGTTACAAATTGTTGTAACACTTGTCCATGCTGTGGAAATGTCAGGTACTTGAATGATTAATTATTACTTCGTTGTATTTATTATAGTTCCTCATGATTGTTCCAGAATTAACTGTAATATGGATGGGAGCTGGAAGGCACAATATCAAATTTTCAATGTGGTACTTAATTTAGGGAGCTACTATTTGATTTTTATGGGGGGGGGGGGGGCTAGGATGAAATTTGAAAGAAATAGGCAGGACAGGAGTTTTGATTAAAAAAAAAGGCAGGATGAGACACTTTGCAAAAAAAAAAGGTAGGATGACAATATAATTATGTAAAAAAAGTGAGGATAAACCAGTAAAAAAATTGCGGGACCGAATAGAGTGAAAAATAAAAAGGCAGGACAGAGATTACAACTAAAAAAAAAGGCAGGACAGAGATTACAACTAAAAAAAAATGCAGGACAAAATTTTTCATCCTACCCCCCCCCCCCATAAAAATAAAATGGTAGCTCCCTTTTAGAGATAGCCTGAAATATGTCTTCTAGTCTGCTAGTACTAGGTGCAGGAAAATCTACTTGAGACACTGCATTCTTATACTGTACATGCTCAGTGTATGGTTAACAGTCTACCCAAGCAAGTACGTCAGCATTTTGATATGAAGACTTGATTAAATTATCAAGTCTATTAGATATTGTCACTAAGCATTTTTACTTGGTGCAGCAAAACATAACATTTTGAAATATACGGCTTACCGTAAAGAGACTCATGGAGAGAATCTCCCAGTTGGAATATGTGTTCTGTTATTTGTACCATACAGTTTTTATTATGGGTGAGGTAAAATTCAAGCTATTCATAAACAAGAACAGAAACATGTAACATTATATTTAACGTGTTACAATGAGAGTAGATGTAAACACATTCAAAGATGAACAATTACTCTCATAACATTTATAAATAAAAAGGAAATAGATTTAAAGAAGTCATTTAATAATGTTAGGTCCAGGTAAGCTTTTCCTTCTATCAAATACGGAACAGAACGCAACAATGGACATCTGCATGTCTCAAGTGTGGATTAAAGACCACAGTGAAAAATATAATCACAACTATGTTATTTACACAAAGTAAAACCACATTAACAATATAAGCTGTCAAATCATGGGAGCCTAACAAGGGTTAAATGTTATTTTCTTTACACTTTTGTCAGTATAGCAACAATACATACAATGTTAAGTGTACAGTAAAAAATATGAATATCTCTTTTCTTTTTATGGCCCCGCAACAAAGTTGTTGGGGCCATATAGTTTTACGCTTGTCCGTCATTCCGTCAATCTGTCATTCTGTCATTCCGTCGTTCCGTCATTCCGCAACAAACCATTATATGGACTTTTTTTCTAAACGCCTACAGATATTGGGCTGATTTTTGGTATGTGAGTTAACCATGATGAGTTACAGATCAAGTTCAAGTTTGGTTCCGCTCTACTAATTTTTGCCTAAATTTCGGGCTTTGGACTTTGATAAATTGTTGAAAATCACAGTTATACAGACTTTTTTTCTAAACGCCTTGAGATATTGGGCTGATTTTGGTATGTGAGTTAACCATGATGAGTTACAGATCAAGTATAGATTTCGTTCCGCTCTGCTAATTTTTGCCGAAATTACAGGCTTTGGACTTTGATAAATTGTTGAAAATCACAGTTATACAGACTTTTTCTAAACGCCTTTAGATATTGGGCTGATTTTTGGTATGTGAGTTAACCATGATGGGTTACAGATCAAGTTCAAGTTTCGTTCCACTCTGCTAACTTTTGCCGAAATTACAGGCTTTGGACTTTGATATTTTGTTGAAAATCACAGTTATACAGACTTTTTTTCTAAACGCCTTTAGATATTGGGCTGCCATCATTTTTGGTGTATGAGTTAACCATGTTGAGTTACAGATCAAGTTTATGTTTTGTTCCGATATGATGATTTTCATGTCGTTTCAACACATCTTCAGTACATCCACTTCCTGTTTGCTGATAGTTTGAAATTTAACTACTCATTGATCAAGGAAATTTGTTATCGAACTAGTATTGGCTTTGAGAGCTGGATACTATCCATGCATGTTTGTGTCCACATGTGTTATTAAAATAGCAGATTTTTCATTTTTTTGAGACGGGGCCATTCGTGTCGTTCCAACACAACTAGTTTTTGTCGAGCCTGCGACTTTTGTCACAAAAAGCTCGACATAGGGATAGTGATCTGGCAGCGGCGGCGTTAGCTAACTTCTTAAAAGCTTTATATTTTAGAAGGTGGAAGACCTGGATGCTTCATACTTTGTATATGGATGCCTCATGTTATGAAGTTTCTGTCAGTCACATGTCCAATGTCCTTGACCTCATTTTCATGGTTCAGTGACTACTTGAAAAAAAAGTTAACATTTTTTGTAATATTAAATTTTCTCTTATTATAAGTAGTAGGATAACTATATTTGGTATGTGCGTACTTTGCAAGGTCCTCATGCCCGTCAGACAGTTTTCACTTGACCTCGACCTCATTTCATGGATCAGTGAACAAGGTTAAGTTTTGGTGGTGAAGTCCATATCTCAGATACTATAAGCAATAGGTCAAGTATATTCGGTGTATGGAAGGACTGTAAGGTGTACATGTCCAACTGGCAGGTGTCATCTGACCTTGACCTCATTTTCATGGTTCAGTGGTTATAGTTAAGTTTTTGTGTTTTGGTCTGTTTTTCTTATACTGTATGCAATAGGTCTACTATATTTAGTGTATGGAATGATTGTAAGGTGTACATGTCTAGCTGGCAGGTGTCATTTGACCTTGACCTCATTTTCATGGTTCGGTGGTCAAAGTTAAGATTTTGAGTTTTGGTCTTTTTTTTTTATTCTAAATGCAATAGATCAACTATATTTGGTGTATGGAAATATTTTATGATCTATATGTCAGTCGTGCAGGTTTTATTTGACCTTGACCTCATTTTCACAGTTCATTGGTCAGTGTTAAGTTTTTGTGTGTTGGTCTGTTTTTCTTGAACTATAAGCAATAGGTCAACTATATTTGTTGTATGGAAGAATTGTTAGCTGTACATGCCTGCCTGACATGGTTCATCTGACCTTGACCTCATTTTCATGGTTCATTGGTCAATGTTTAGTTTTCTTGGTTAATGTTAAGTTTATGTGACAGTTGTAATAAAGCTTTTTATTTAGGACTATCAACATAATATCAGTGATTAGTTAAGAAGGCAAGACATTTCAGCGTGTGCATACTTGTTTACTATTTTATCTGACAGTCTTTAGTATGTACTATATACTATTAAAGTAAAACTTAACTTGAGCTGTTTAAATAACATAACTGAGTAAAATAAAAAGATAAAAGTTTTACTACTACAAATTTAATTTCATGAAATTTTCATTTGTCAGTATGTTACAAACAAGTACATTTAAGTAATAATTACTTTTTTCCGAGCAAACAAATTGTAGGCTGGCTTGCTATTACTTGAAGGTAATAATTTGAACCCTGCTTCTGTGACATCATGGCAGCACAGCCTGCACAGCTCCTTAAGCTTAGACTATTTAGCCAACTAGGCTTTTTTAGTTTCATGTTTTATTAATGTATGCATACATGTATATTTTGTAGATGAAAACAAAATTCATATCTTAGAAGACTCGGGACTGTTTGCTTTGATGAAGAGCCTGAATGATATAGAATCTGGGGATGAAGAACTCTTTAAAGCTATCAAGTATCTTCTACAATTGTGTACAAGTAAAGTATTGGTTTTATGATAAGATACATTGTCCAATAAGATAATCTGGAGATGTGGTATGATTCCCAATGAAACAATTATGCACCAGAGACAAAAGGACAAGGATGCAAACACTGCAGATCACCGTAAGAGCTTCAACAATGAGCAAAATCCATACTGTATGGTTAGTTATATAAAGCCAAGGGTAACATGGAAATACGGCAGAAGAGAGAAACAAAACAAAAAGCTATTATGGCAGACAGCAAGAATCAATTAAGCATGCCCCTGGCTTTGAACAGGCCAATACATGTTGTTAGTTAAACAAGCATATGTTACAATATATGATTATGATATTGTGAAATTTCCAATTTATGGGTTACTATATTATCTTTTTATTGTTGACAATAGATAAGGGAAAAATTATTTAATTTTTTGGCCAAGTGTGAACTTTTTTAACCACTGCATTCATTGTCATGTTTAAAATTATTAAAAACATATCGTTTGTAACTAAACATAACCACACTCATACTAACCTACCTAGGGCTGTTCCAAAATTTATCAGATGGGGAGATGAGAGGCACTCAAATTAATTAAATATAGGTGGTTGCATTTTCCTTAGAATTTTAAATTATTATATTAATAAAGTTAACTGAAAATTTTTATTTCATGGATAGTCAGGGTCTTAAAAAATGCCTCCCATCAACCCCTGCCCCTAAGTAAAGTAACTAAAGTGGCATAATTATTCAATCCCCCCTTTTATTCCTTATTTTATTTTAATCCTTGCATTAATATATGGAACAGCCTTTATGTTTAATGATGTTCCTGTCAATCAACCAAAATGGCTGCCATTTATGTCTCGCCTTGACTGAGTCAAAAAGCGAGACATAGGTATGCTGTTTCCTGCGTCGGTGGTGGTGTCAACAATGTATTAGTTTGTGATTAGGTCTAGTTCATGGTGATCCACTAGTGGTAGGTCAATGATATTTGGTATGCAGTTGTATTAGCATTTGCACATCTCATTACCATGGAGAGTATTTGGCCCTGCCCCCTCAGTCAAGGTCTATTGACTTTGAAACTTTGCTTAGTTTACATGTATTAGTTTGTGATTAGGTCAGTTTATGGGGAACCACTAGTGGTAGGTCAATGATATTTGGTATGCAGTTGTATTAACATTGGCACATCTCATTACCATGGAGATTATTTAGCCCTGCCCCCTCAGTCAAGGTCTATTGACTTTGAAACTTTGCTTAGTTTACATGTATTAGTTTGTGATTAGGTCAGTTTATGGGGAGCCACTAGTGGTAGGTCAATGATATTTGGTATGCAGTTGTATAAGCATTGGCATATCTCATTTGGCCCCGCCCCCTCATTCATGGTCTATTGACTTTGAAACTTTTGCTTAGTTTTCATGTATTAGTTTGTGATTAGGTCAGTTTAAGGGTAACTGTTAGTGGTAGGTCAATGATAATTAGTATGCAGTTGTATAAGCATTAGCACATCTCATTTCCATGGAAAATATTTGATCCTTACCCCTCAGTCATGGTCTATTGACTTTGAAACTTTTGCTTAGTTTACATGTATTGGTTTGTGATTATGTCAGTTTAAGATGAACCACTTATGTTAAGTCAATGATATTCAGTATTCAAATGTATTGGCATTTGCAAGTTTCATTTCCATGGAGATTATATAACCCCACCCCCTAATTATGAACCATTGACTTTGAAACTTTTACATAGTTTACAAGTTAATGTTTGTGTTTAGGTTTGTTTAAAGGGAACGACTTATGAAAAGTCAATGGTATGTGGTTTGCAGTTGTATTAGCATTGGCACATCTCATTTCCATGGAGATTGTTTAGCCCTGTACCTTCAGTCATGGTTCATTGACTTTGAATATTTGCATAACTTATATGTTAAAGTATTGCTATTTTAATTTCAACATTTGCATGATCAAAATAACAAATAGGTGAGACATATCTCCTTGTTAACAGTTTATTTAAAATAGTACATTGTCTAACTGGTATCATCAACAATGATGGAATAAAGTATTTGATAGATTGATATGTAAGTAGTATCTGTTTGATATTGGAAATTAAAGTATAGCTATTATTTTTTTATTGACAGAAAAAACTGAAGAAGAACCACAGAATGAAACAGCAGAAATGTTGGATATCTTGAAGAAAACAGAAGCCATGCATAAGTAATATAAAGCTTGAAAAAGGGAGCAATTAAAAAACTGTCTAATCAAGACAGACCACACCTTGAACAAAAGAGACAAACAACACTTCACAGAAAACTTGAGAATGACCAATGCAAACCCCACAAAAAAAGCAAAGAGTGACTTCTGGTGCTTCAGAAGGGTAACTCACTAACTGTGCAACTCCTACTCCAAGAGTGGCACCAAGTGTGTTGCTCTTTTAAAACACTTATTCAATTGATTGCTGTATTATTTGTAAATATAGGAGCTGACATCATTTCAATAATATTTCAATATTTCAAAAAACAAAATCACCTAAGGAATGAATAGGATTTCTTCAAGTTTATTGTAGCAAGACTTTTAAGTGGTGTTCTCAAAATCTTCATGAAAATGAAACTTTTAGATGCTAATACAAGAGCATATTTTACACTTTTAGTCCAGTATAAAGCATTCTAATTATATAAGTTCCCATTATAATAAATCGTTTGAAAAGTGTTAAAGTTTTTTTTCTGCATATGATGATGTATCCAAATTAGAATTTGATTCTCGACTAAGTTGTGAATTTTCTAGACCCCCCAAACAAACTAATTATCCGGATGGTTTCATTTGTATATAAAAAGGGGGGATGGAATAATTATGCCAGACAAAAGCTTTACTTAGGGGCAGCGTGTGGTATTCTCCTCGAATGTATTGATGATTAAGTAACTATGTATACCTAACTAGAGGAGATTTTATATATATGGTAGTTGTCATTCTTAAATCTTGTAAATGATAAACCAGCTGCAATCAGTTGATAGTAATTTATGAGAATCTGTTATATAACATTTTGGCCAGGATGATGATCTTACTGTTGTACTAGAAAATATACCACATAAAATTTATAACCTCAGTGGCAAATGGATGATAAAAAAAAACCTTCAAAGAGAATTAACTCTAACTACATGTTGTTTTAATTTATTTTTTAAATGATTGCAAATGGATGTTTTAACAGTTACTTTAAAATATAACTGATGTACAAATCTATGTTGTAATATTTATATTTAAACAGGAACAGTGGCCTACTGCTCCTCCATAAAATCAATGAATTGTCTGATCGACTCCAATCATTTGAAGAAGAAAGTGCTCGAGAGTTTCAGCAGGTGACATCTCCGGTGTCATGTTCTTCAGAATACCATGTAAATGATTTGAATAATAACTCAAGATATATGCATCAAAATTTAGAGAGCAAGAGAGTATTGCAGTTTCCTAATTCTGTAGAGACCCCAAATAAATATGGTCTGTCTGTGAATTATATTTCAAGAGCATCCACACCTGTGAGTGAATTTAGAAGAAAAAAGATTTGGCACATGTCTGAAAATAAAGATATTCAGGGAAATCACCAAAATGGCTTTGTTCAGAGAACACCGTCTAAGCTGTGTTTGATGCAAGATGTGGGAAATGAAATCATTCCACCAAATATGTTTCAGAATTTGCATGTTAATCCACACTATTGTCGTCAGGATGTTGTCGAAAATTTTACACCAAGAAAAGTTTTTCATGTCGGAAATGGTGTCATGGAAGACTACAATAAAATGAGGAATTTTGTTCAGAGTCCAAATAATGCTCAAAGTCTTTTTCAATCTACACCTAATTCCAAAGCAGTATATCTAAATAATATGGGAAGTCTGCTAAACCATTATCCTACTGATTATGCAGGCAATTTAAGACAGAATCATAATGTTAATGACAATCAAATATCCCGAAATGGAAACGAAAATATTAAAAATGCTTACTATAACGAAGTTGAGTTGTCACGATTGAAGCCAACTATTGAATCTGATTTAAATTTAGAACAAAGAGAGTATCCACAATACCTTAATGATTCAGTTCATTACCATTCTGATGTGATAGCCCAAGGTTTGGATAACAATTTTGACGTGAGAGGTCATGATGACAGTTTTGTTGCCCGAGTCCTTGATAACAGTTCAGTAGCCAGGGTACCAGATGAAAGTTTGTTAGACAGGGTACCAGATAAATGTTTTTCAGGCAGAGAACAAGTTAATAGAGTCATATTGAAAGATTCAAATAACAATTTTTCGATTTCTGGTAGTTTTGAAGGAAGACAAAGGAAATGTCTTTTGGAGAAGAAAGGAGACCCTCATGTTCGTTCTTTTGGTGGAAGTCATGGCTATCAACAAATGAATGAGAAAGGAGATGATACTTACCCCATAGAAGCTAATTGTGCTGTGAAAAATTTGAAGGAAGTTTTTGATTATGATCATAAGAGTGGTGTAATTTCTCAGTTCAGTTGCCATGACAACACTGCTATAGATAAATCAACGAAGCAATATTTTGAAAAGTCACAAGTCACATATCAGAATCCTACAAATGAGGATTGTGGTAAATGGGAGGAGATACATGGTAAAGCACAAAGAACAGAAAGTGACCTTGAACTCCACTCAGCCAAGATAGACGAGGCTCTATATCTGGTGGAATCAGATCAACATATCCAATCTAGTAAAAGAAAAAGTGAAAATGATTCAGATATCAAAATTGATACAAATAACAATTTGACATACACAATAGATAAAAACATTAACAAAAACTTTAAACAAAAGAAACAAGGAGCTAGTTTAGGTCAAAGTTCACATGCAGAAAACAAATCAAATGAGGAAGAGTCTGTTTTTCTTCAAGGAAAGCAAGAGAAAAGTAGATCAATTACAAAACCAAAGAAATATGAAATTAGGATAATAGAATCAGAACCAAAAGATAAACAAAAGGCAGTTGAAGTTGAAAAGTTGTTAGATAGCAAATCCAATGGAAACCATATCCCAGAAAGTTGTCATGATGATAATTCTCAGGGTCAAGGACATGAAGATTCCCAAGAACACAACAGAAATAATACTTGTCAGGAAAAAGAACAAGGAAGCCATTCGTCTAAGAGTAAGAAGCTTGACAAACTGTTAAATAGATTACCATTACAGAAGAGTGAACCAAATGGTACAACACCAAGGCAAAGTCAAATTCAGTTTAAAAATATACCATATGGTACGACATCCAGGCTTAGTCAAACTGGGTTTAAAAAGACTGAGAAAGTTGATTCTTTGGCATGCCCTAATAAAAGTACAGTAATAGATGTAGCTAATAATGCATCTATGTTTGAAAATGATGTAAAACAGAAAAACAGTAAAAATTTGGACGATGACAAATTCCTCAAACCAGTAGGTAGACCATTGAGGCCCAAGACAAAAACATCAGTCAGGAGAGCTGAACCATTCTGGAAACGTTCGTTTAATGGATACGACTCAGATTCAGATTGTTTAAGTTCTGGGGATGAAGGCTCTGTGTTTGATAAAGAACTGGTTCAAACAGCAAAACATTATATACAGCCATGTGGTAGTATGAACAGCTTTTTGCAATTGACACCAATTCATAAAAGAAATGCACCAGGTACTGGTTAGTTAATAAGTAATAAAAAATTAAAAACAACACGTTTAATAATTTCATGCGTCCGAAGCGCTTTTCTGGATTTACCTTCATCAGGAAGGCTCAAAGCCAAACATTTGAAATCCGAGGGATGTATAAGTACCGAAACAGTTGAAGAGCTATATGACAAAAATACATAAAACAAAGATCCAAATTCATCTAAGGTCAACTTTGCCTGAGGGAGTTGAAATCTTAGTTTCTTTATAATTTCAAAATTTATAAACAGACAATTTTATAATAAAGTACTGTGTATTCATTTATTTTTTTGTGGATTGAGGAAAATTGTAGTTTCCTAGATATTTGATTTTTGTGGGGTTTCCAAAATTTGCATACAAACATGGAGTAAATATTTACCTATTTAAGCATTAAAAATTTGCTGTTGACCTATACCCCACGAAATCCACAAAAGTTGGTATCCCACAAATAATAATGAATCCACAGTAGAGTGACAATTTCATGCAGATTGACAGTACTGTAGATTTATTATTGTCTGCAGGATACCAGTTATTTGTGTATTTTGTGGTTTTAGGTAAACCACAAATTTACACGGGCTTTGAAGAACATATTTTCTATAGGCTTGTACATGTATGCAAATTTGGAAAATCCATGAAATCAAATATAAAAAAAAAATACAACTTTACCTCAGTCCTTAAAAATCGGTATCCAAGATAGAAATGAAACTACAGTATTTCAATTTCATAAAACAGATTATTAAGCTTTTTCAATTTGAAACAAGATATAGTCCTCCCGCAGAAATATACAAATGTAGGATTCAAAACAATTTTGTAAAATGAAATGAAAAATACTTTTAAAGTGAATGAAACAGAAAGTTGACAATAGAATTTGAATATGTCTTAAGGTCTAAATGTTTGACTATAGATTTTTCTTAAACTTCTGTAAAAGACTTCTGGGTCAAAGTACTTTTAAAATGTCGATTTAAAAACTGGGGTGTCATGGACCTTGTTTTTTTTTTGTTAAAATACACTGAAAGAAATGAAAAAAAAACAGTTATTTTATAAGGGTTATATAATGAAAACTTAATTTTTCTTCATTGAGGAAACATTAAACGATAGAATTGGTTATAATTTAATGAGATAATTACTTTTCATGAATACTTCAGAAATATCATATAAAAATAGGGGGTCACAGGCCTTATTTTTATTTTTGTTAAAATACACTGAAAGAAACGAAAAAAACAGTTATTTTATAAGGGTTATATAATGAAAACTTAATTTTTCTTCATTGAGGAAACATTAAACGATAGAATTGGTTATAATTTAATGAGATAATTACTTTTCATAAATACTTCAGAAATATCATATAAAAATAGGGGGTCACAGGCCTTATTTTTATTTTTGTTAAAATACACTGAAAGAAATGAAAAAAACAGTTATTTTATAAGGGTTATATAATGAAAACTTAATTTTTCTTCATTGAGGAAACATTAAACGATAGAATTGGTTATAATTTAATGAGATAATTACTTTTCATAAATACTTCAGAAATATCATATAAAAATAAGGGGTCACAGGCCTTATTTTCTCGAAAAATCAAAAAACACAAATTTCCCTATCACTTTCAATATAATTATCTGCCCTTGACATTAGATGGATTTTTTTCTGAAAATTTTAAATACACTTAATGAACCTTATTTTTTTTATTGTTTAATCTTAAAATTTTGAAAGGAGACGGTCCGATAAGGGCTAATTTTGGCCTAAAATTAGAAGTACATCTGATAAAAGATTTTTGGCATTATTTAAAAAGATACCTGATCTACCTTAAGAAGGCAATATCAACATGACTATTTAATTGATCCCTTTTAGGAAAGACACAAGAAACATGGGCGCACATTGTTCTTATCTTTCTATTTTACCACCTAGTGTAAAATTTATTAGATTACTTGTAGAATATAATTATAATTTGATATTTCTTTGTCAGGAAGTCTGTCCACCAACAATACAAGAGTGTTGAATATAAAACCACACAGAGATCAGCAATCTGTCTGTTCATCCCCAGGTAAAAGTGATATTTTATAGACATGGTTTATATGACATATACAGAGAAAGATAACATTCAATTGATTGGTTGAAGACTGCTTAATATCCAGCCACATTTAACTACTGTAAATTCAGAAATTATTGCAATTTTTGAAGAATGGATAAAAATGGGAGATTAATTATTGTGATTTCAGGAAAATCTGCATACAGATATCAGAATGCGAGTTCTTATTATTGTGATATTCAACTAGTCGCATTATTAGCATTAATAAAAACCTCGCAATAATTTCTGAGTTTACAGTATATACATGTCTTGTTAAGGCCAAATTAAAGAATAAATGTTGTAAATAAATTTTTTTTTCAAGTTTTTGTCGAGCTTGCGACTTTTGTCGCAGAAAGCTCGACATAGGGATAGTGATCCGGCGGCGGCGGCGTTAGCTAACTTCTTAAAAGCTTTATATTTTAGAAGGTGGAAGACCTGGATGCTTCATACTTTGTATATGGATGCCTCATGTTACGAAGTTTCCGTCAGTCACATGGCCAATGTCCTTGACCTCATTTTCATGGTTCAGTGACTACTTGAAAAAAAAGTTAACAATTTTTGTAATGTTAAATTCTCTCTTATTATAAGTAGTAGGATAACTATATTTGGTATGTGCGTACCTTGCAAGGTCCTCATGCCCGTCAGACAGTTTTCACTTGACCTTGACCTCATTTCATGGATCAGTGAACAAGGTTAAGTTTTGGTGGTCAAGTCCATATCTCAGATACTATAAGCAATAGGTCTAGTGTATTCGGTGTATGGAAGGACTGTAAGGTGTACATGTCCAACTGGCAGGTGTCATCTGACCTTGACCTCATTTTCATGGTTCAGTGGTTATAGTTAAGTTTTTGTGTTTTGGTCTGTTTTTCTTATACTGTATGCAATAGGTCTACTATATTTGGTGTATGGAATGATTGTAAGGTGTACATGTCTAGCTGGCAGGTGTCATCTGACCTTGACCTCGTTTTCATGGTTCAGTGGTCAAAGTTAAGTTTTTGAGTTTTGGTCTTTTTGTCGAGCCTTCGACTTTAGTCGAAAAAGCGAGACATAGCGATCCTACATTCCGTCGGCGGCGGCGTCCACAAATATTCACTCTGTGGTTAAAGTTTTTGAAATTTTAATAACTTTCTTAAACTATCCTGGATTTCTACCAAACTTGGACAGAAGCTTGTTTATGATCATAAGATAGTATCCAGAAGTAAATTTTGTAAAAATCAAATATCATTTTTTCCGTATTTTACTTATAAATGGACTTAGTTTTTCTGCCGGGAAATATTACATTCACTCTGTGGTTAAAGTTTTTAAAATTTTAATAACTTTCTTAAACTATCCTGGGTTTGTACCAAACTTGGACAGAAGCTTGTTTATGATCATAAGATAGTATCCAGAAGTAAATTTTGAAAAAAAATAAATCCATTTTTTCCTAATTTTACTTTTAAATGGACTTAGTTTTTCTGCCAGGAAACAACACATTCACTCTGTGGTTAAAGTTTTTAAAAATTTTAATAACTTTCTTATACTATTTTGGATTTGTATCAAACTTGGACAGAAGCTTGTTTATGATCAAAAGCTAGTATCTAGAATGAAATTTTGTAAAAAAATAAATCCATTTTTTCCGTATTTTACTTTTAAATGGACTTAGATTTTCTGCCAGGAAACAGCACATTCACTCTGTGGTTAAAGTTTTTAGAATTTTAATACCTTTCTTATACTATTTTGGATTTGTACCAAACTTGGACAGAAGCTTGTTTATGATCAAATGCTAGTATCTAGAAGGAAATTTTGTTTTCTTCCAGTTGACATTACATTCAGTCTGCAGTTAAAGTTTTTAAACATTTATTAGAATCATAAATTATCCTGGATTTTTACCAAACTTCGACAGAAGCTTCTTACAATCAAAAGATAGTATCAAGAGGAATATTTTTATTGATTTACTTCCTCATTTTTGTTGAGCCTGCGATTAACAGAAAAAGTAGGCGAGACACTGGGTTCCGCGGAACCCTTATGAATTTTTTTCCAATACTATATGCAATAGGTCAACTATATTTGGTGTATGGAAATATTTAATGATCTATATGTCAGTTGCGCAGGTTTTATATGACCTTGACCTCATTTTCACGGTTCATTGCTCAGTGTTAAGTTTTTGTGTTTTGGTCTGTTTTTCTTAAACTATAAGCAATAGGTCAACTATATTTGTTATATGGAAGAATTGTTAACTGTACATGTCTGCCTGGCATGGTTCATCTGATCTTGACCTCATTTTCATGGTTCATTGGTCAATGTTTAGTTTTCTTGGTTAATGTTAAGTTTATGTGACAGTTGTAATTAAGCTTTATATTTAGGACTATCAACATAATATCAATGATTAGTAAAGAAGGCGAGACATTTCAGCGTGTGCACTCTTGTTAACTATAAATTACAAAAAGGTAAAGTATAACTTTAAAAAGTGCTCTTTCAATAACTGACAAAAAAATCTTTAGATTAGGAACTATAAATAAGGGTCCTTTGGGTTAGTGGAAACACATATTTGCTTAGGCATAAGGAGATATGAATATATTCTGCTTTGAACTAAACAAACACCCTGAGTTAGTTTGCTAGCTCACAAGGTAACAGTCAACAGGAAACTAAAAGCATATCACTGTACCCTAACATTATACTGACTCACAGACTTACAGGTGTTTGGTCTTACTCTCAATTATTTGAATTTGGTCATACATTTATCTCCCCAACAGTAAGCTAGGATGCAATACTTAATCATGCAGTTTCCACTGACGGTGTCAACAATTCTTAAAGTAAGTTGTCTGGTTATATCAAGGGGAATCTCCATTGTCAAGTCAATGATTTTGGTAGGAAGTTGCGTTACCATAGATACATTCAGTTCAAGGGATTTCATTTGGACCCTCAGTCCAATTTGCATTATTACATATTGGTATATTTTCCAATGTTTAACAGTTGTTGGCTGTTATCTTGAAAACTATAGGAGCTAGGTTAAAAGTGTATATTGCCAAAGGTTCAGCACTACAAGACGTATCTACCCTGAAAATTGGGGGGGGGGGGGGGGGGGGGGGAAATCTGTTTACTAGTTGTTGAGTTACTGCCCCTGAATATCCAGTTTTTGGCTGTTATCTTGAAAAATATAGGAGCTAGGTTAAAAGTGTAAATTGCAAAAATGATCAGCATCTATTAACCCTAAAAATTCAGGAAAAATCTGTTTACCTGGTTTTGAGTAATTGCCTTGATATATACATTTTACAATTTTTTTCTGGTTTTTTTTTGTTGTTGTTTGCTGCAAAAATGACCAGCATTATAGGATCTATATATTCTGAGATTTTTGATGACCTGCTTTGGAGTTATTGCCCCTGAAATATTGATATTTTTTTAATCTCCCCCTTGCCGGTCTGCTCCTGTAGGGGAGTATAAAATCTCCCGCTTTCGGATATTTTAACCCGAAATGACCTGCGTTCGTATTTCTTGGGATTTTTCTTTACTGTCAATCAGGGTTGGCAAAAACCCGGATTTTATGAGTATTGCCCAGCCCAGTGGGAAATACTGGGAAAACCCGGGTTTTACTGGGTTTTACCGGGTAATACTGGGCAATACTGGGTAATTTGAAATACTAGCCTGAATTTTAAAGAGGATTCAGTGATCAAACACAAATGCAATATATTTAAGATATTTATAAACATTTTGATTTATAAATAAGTTCACTTGTTTGAGAGTCTTATAACATGTATAATACAAGTGTATACATTTGAGAAAGTATTATTCTAGCAACTCTGAGACAAGTGTACATGAAGACACATTAGGCAAATATTAATGGAAAAAGCCTTTCTCAATAATTCTCCTGAAAATCTATTAAATCACCATTCTGTCTAGATTGTTCAAACTTTTAACATAAAGCCAAAGAATTCATTTTTTTCAAATATATATAACTAATATTAAGAATTAACAATTATATGTAAGAAAAGTTACTTTTAAATAATTTATATGTACATCACTAATTAATAAGTAATTATTCATATTAGAACACAGATATGTTTATATAACAATAATCAGCCTTTTCATTTCATAAGTGTTAATGACATGACCCTGTAGGGTGTTTATTTAGCTATATGATTGCATAGCAATTTAAATTTACAATTCACTTAAACACTGCAATAAAATGCATTTTTTTCAAAGTTTAGATTATTGAAACAATGCTTGGAAATTAACAAGGTATCCTAAAATGTGCAAATCTTGTATTCTGCCTACATAGAATTAGAGGAGAAGAGTTTGAAATTGAATTTTCAATCTTCTAGAAATGACTTTCAATGGTTATCTGTATAAAATGTATATATCTAGCTATAATACTATGAAACTACAACAAGTCTTTACTATTTTGTGTTAAAATAAGCTTCCCACCTGGGTTTCCTGGGTGGGTAATACTTTGCCAACCCTGCTGTCAATAAAAAGAAAAAAAACATTCAGCGATTATTTGAAAACTTTGGTCCGTAGTTTTATGATCGATTGATTAGTAATCGCAAATCATTTCTGCCATGTCAATTCCATATACAATAGGTCAACTAAATTTGGTGTATGGAAATATTTTACGATGTACATGTCAGTCTGGAAGGTTTTATTTGACCTTGACCTCATTTTCACGGTTCCTTGCTCAGTGTTAAGTTTTTGTGTTTTGGTCTGTTTTTTGTCTCGTCTTGACGGAGTCAAAAAGCAAGACATAGGTATGCTGTTTCCGGCGTCGGCCGCGGCGTCAACAATGTATTAGTTTGTGATTAGGTCTAGTTTATGGTGAACCACAAGTGGTAGGTCAATGATATTTTGTATGCAGTTATATAAGCATTGACACATCTTATTTCCATGGAGATTATTTGGCCCTGTCCCCTCAGTCATGGTCTATTGACTTTGAAACTTTTGCTTAGTTTACATGTATTAGTTTGTGATTAGGTCAGTTTATGGGGAACCATTAGTGGTAGGCCAATGTTAATTGGTATTCAGTTGAGATTATTTGGCTCCGCCCCCTTAGTCATGGTCTATTGACTTTGAAACATTTGCTTAGTTTATATGTATTAGTTTGTGATGAGATCAGTTTAAGATGAACTGCTAATGTTATGTTAATGATATTTGGTATGCAAATTTATAGGCATTTGCAAGTCTTATTTCCATGGAGATTATAAAGCCCCACCCCCTCATCATGATTCATTGACTTTGAAACTTTTACATAGTTTACAAGTTAATGTTTGTGTTTAGGTTTGTTTAAAGGGAACGACTTATGATAAGTCAATGGTATTTGGTATGCAGTTGTATTAACATTGGCACATCTCATTTCCATGGAGATTGTTCAGCCCTGTACCTTCAGTCATGGTTCATCGACTTTGAATATTTGCATAACTTACATGTTAAAGTATTGCTATTTTAATTTCAACATTTGCATTATCAAAAGTACAAAAAGGCGAGACATATCTCTGTGATAACAGTTTATCTTAAACTATAAGCAATAGGTCAACTATATTTGGTGTATGGAATGATTGTAGGGTGTATATGTCTGTCTGGCAGGTTTCATATGACCTTGACCTCATTTTCATGGTTCATTGGTCAATGTTAAATTTTCATGGTTAAGTTTGTTTCTTAGATACTATTAGCAATAGGTCAACTATATTTGATGCATAGATTGATTGTAAGGTGTACATATCTGTCTGGCATGGTTCGTCTGACCTTGACCTCATTTTCATGGTTTATTGGTCAATGTTAAATTTTCCAGGTTAAGTTTGTTTCTTAGAAACTGTAAGCAATAGGTCAACTATATTTTGTGTATGGAATGATTGTAAGATGTGCATGTTTTTCTGGTTTGGTTAATCTGACCTTGGCCTCATTTTCTTGGATCATGTTAAGTTTATGTGATACTTGTAATAAAGCTTTATATTTAGGACTATCAACATAAAATCAATGATCAGTAAAGCAGGCGAGACATTTCAGCATGTGCACTCTTGTCCTACTGAAGGTTGGTGGTTCTCTCCAGGCACTCTGGGTTCTTCCACCAATAAAAACTGACCACCACTATATATATAGCCAAGAGTACTGAATGTGGCCTAAAACACCTACAGTCAATCAAACTAGTACCTTACAGATTTCAATTTTACCCAAGTGTGTTGCTTCAGTCTAAAAAATATAAAAGTTTTTAAAAGTGACAAAATTCTGACATGCTGTAATTCCAATTTTTAGCTCACCTGGCCCAAAGGGCCAAGTGAGCCTTTCTCATCACTTGGCGTCCGTCGTCTGTCGTCGTTAACTTTTACAAAAATCTTCTCCTCTGAAACTACCGGGCCAAATTTGACCAAACTTGGCCACAATCATCATTGGGTAATCTAGTTTAAAAAATGTGTCCGGTGACCCGGCCAACCAACCTAGATGGCTGCCATGGCTAAAAATAGAACATAGGGGTAAAATGTAGATTTTGGCTTATATCTCTGAAACCAAAGCATTTAGAGCAAATCTGACATGATAAAATTGTTTATCAGGTCAAGATCTATCTGCCCTGAAATTTTCAGATGAATCAGACAACCTGTTGTTGGGTTGCTGCCCCTGAATTGGTAATTTTAAGGAAATTTTGCCGTTTTTGGTTATTATCTTGAATATTATTATAGATAGAGATAAACTGTAAACAGCAATAATGTTCAGCAAAGTAAGATCTACAAATAAGTCAACATGACCAAAATGGTCAGTTGACCCCCTTAAGGAGTTATTGCCCTTTATAGTCATTTTTTAACCATTTTTCGTAAATTTTTGTAATCTTTTACAAAAATCTTCTCCTCTGAAACTACTAAGACAAATTTAACAAACTTGTCCACAATCATCATTAGGGGATTAAGTTTAAAAAATGTGTCCGATGACCCCGCCCACAAACCAAGATGGCCGATATGGCTAAAAAATAGTACATAGGGTAAAATGCAGTTTTTGGCTCATATCTCTGAAACCAAAGCATTTAGAGCAAATCTGATGAGGATAAAATTGTTCATTATGTCAAGATCTATCTGCCCTGAAATTTTCAGACCAATCAGGCAACACGTTGTTGGATTGCTGCCCCTGAATTGGTAATTTTAAGAAAATTTTGCAGCTTTTGGTTATTATCTTGAATATTATTATAGATAGAGATAAACTGTTAACAGCAATAATGTACAGCAAAGTTAGATATACAAATAGGTCAACATGACCAAAATTGTCAATTGACCCCTTAAGGAGTAATTGCCCTTTATAGTCAATTTTTTACAATTTTCATAAATTTTGTAAATTTTTGTAAATTTTTACAAAATATTTTCCACTGTAACTACTGGGCCAAATTCATTATAGATAGAGATAATAGTAAGGAGCAAGAATGTTCAGTAAAGTAAGATCTAGAAACACATCACCATCACCAAAACACAATTTTGTCATGAATCCATCTGTGTCCTTTGTTTAATATGCACATAGACCAAGGTGAGCGACACAGGCTCTTTAGAGCCTCTAGTTAAGTTTATGACTACATAATCATTTTTTTGTTTGGCTACTTTATTCAGTTGTTTCTTTTATTCCTGATAATGTCTTAACCTGATACTGTCTGAACTTTATGAAGTGAAAGTTACCAACCTTGGTTTTTATTTCAGGATCATCATACACAGATAACAGTTTTTCTTCCTATTCACCTACAAATTCACCAGAGAGGAGTTGTCCAGGTAGTTATAGTTTGTATTTTAGTATTTCACTATGAGCATTTCCATTGAAACGGAAGTGGGTTTCTCCTTAAGGATTTTTGGAGCCATCTTTGGCCATGAGTAGTCTAACAGTATCAAAATCAAAAGTATTTTGCTATATAATTTATTATTTCAGTCCCCATGACAAAATAGAGAGCAAGGAATTGACATCAAATTTAGATTATTTTAAGCTCTTGTTACAAAATGGTCATATATGAGCTCCGTTGATACAATATTTTATAATCTTGATGCATCTTTGCATTCACCAGTTTTGAAAATTAGGAGTCCAGAAATCGTGAACTCACCTTAGTGTAAATCATTGGAAGAGACCTTAACAAAAACTATCCCACAACCAATGTACTTTCTTCAAGTAAAGGTGTAAAAGGTAAGACCCCTTTTTGGCCCCAAAATATAGCATTTAAATAAATTGTTAAAAATGAAAACTCATAGCTATTTATTGGAAAGAAGAATACTTTTTTTACATAAATATGGCCTGTTTTTTTGACAATACAATGGACATGCATCAGGTACTAGCATCATCAATTCATGCAAAATTACTAAAATCTTCAAAATTTTAGAATTTATGCTAATTTTTAAGACGGTTTTTGTGTTCAATGGAAGTGGCCACACTTGTGTTCAGTCTTAATATTTAAATATATGTTGTATTTGATGATAATACATAACATATATAAAGATTGAGACTGAACACGAATGCGGTCACTTTTATTTTAGGCAAAAACCATCTGAAAAGTGACGCTTTGTGGCATATTTGATACATTTTTCATATTTAAGCTTGAATTTGAACGTCTTTAAAGACCAAATTAGTTCAAATCTTTTACAAAACCAAATTGAATCGACTGAAGTAGAACCTTAAGTGTTTAAAAAATGTCAAAAATCTTTCATCAGACCGGACCTTCTCGTTTGATGTCCAAACATAAAACTTCCCATCCACATCAATTTTAAAGGAATAGCTCTCAAGAGGCTTTTGAAAAGTGCTTTTTACCCAGAGAGAATAAAGGATATATATTTATGCAATCGGATAAATAAAAGATTTTTGTGTATCGAAAAGGTTTCTGTAAAAATGGCTTATAGTGGCTAGGTTTCCTGAAATTATAAAGATATTTAAGGTTACCTGTACTTCCATTTTCACCAACAATCACTGATTGTTATATTTAGTTGTAAGATGGATAAAAGGACCAAAATTGTCTTGAACTAACTTTCAGAATTTAGAATAGATTTGGGGTATATGTCATTGATATGGCAACCCAATAACAACACACACAAAAAGTAATTTCTAAGGATATAACATACCAGTAGAATCAATAAATTTCAGTCATAATTATACTGTTAATTGTCAGTTGCTACCAAGCATTGGGAAAATTATAAATTTTAAATCCTTTTCAAATAAGGGACAATTGCCATGAAACAGGTGGGGGTGTGCTAAATTGTTACTGAAAAAAAAAAAAAAAAAAAAAAATTAGTTTTAACTCGAGTAAGCTATGAGCGGATGACACCTTGATGCAATTCTTTACAAATTATTTATAACAACTGAAGCCACTATAAAATTATCTACCTTTGTTGCTAAAGAAGGTACCAGTATATTGATAAGGTGCTGGTAAACCTTCAGTGAAATTTTATAATGACTTGCATTAGGTTGTAAGGGGCATTATGGTAGCCAGTTTGTGGGTATATTGATCCGTTCTCACTTTGGTCAGTTAGTTTACAATGCAGTAATTTTTGTTTTGGTCAAATCAAGTTGAATCTTTAGCATAGTACATTATGTTCGTTTTAATATGAGAATAATTGTCTCTGTTTAAAATATTTTTTCAACTTGTACACATGAGGCTTCAATATTGAATTGTTTATTATAGGGGGACTTTTCCATTAGAATAAAAATTCTAACTTTACCAACAACTTTAACCTTGATTTAGTAACTGTGCTTACAGTTGAGGATCTAGGGGGTAGGGGTGTAGAGGGCATGTGCCCCCTTTTGATCACCAGATTTTTTTTTAATCTCATTTTTTTTCAAAAAAATTGTATATAATCGTTTTATCAATTCATTTATGGGGAATAACGCCCCCTTTCAACAATCCTGGATACGCCCTTGACTTACATCAAATAGTTATGTGTATATTCCATATACCCATTTTTAAAAATAAGCTTCACATCCTATCTACCCTCTAACATTGATTTTAAAGAAATAGCCCTAATGGACTCAACTTGATATATTTAATCATATGTCATTATTAGGGTGTATTGGTGTAAAACTGAACAGTCGGACATTCAACATTGTTTTAGAAACCAGTTCTTTTACTTGTCCAAGTCATCGTGGTATCAGACAGCTTGAGAGACAGTACATCAAAAGTTTACCTCCTGACATGTCCAGCAAAGTGAAGAGGAAACCAGTATTACCAATAGCAGGGAACCAGAAGAGAGGACTGGAAGTTTATGACTTCAGTAGTGATTCCAATGATGGAGAGGTATATGTAGTTAAAGATAAACATCCAAATTCACTGAGAGTGTGTCAAAAATTTTGTCATAGTCCTGTAAGAACGACTCGCAAGGGGAAGGGGTCTCTTCCAATATAAAGATATGCTCAGACATGACTATGGTATATGTCATATTTTTAGAATGTCAAATATATCACTGAAGTACAATTTAATGTTAAAGGTAGACATTTTTAACAAAAAATCAATATATTTCCTGTCTTCACAATTAACTTTTAAATCTACAGGCCTGGAGCTAAATTTTTGGAAAATTTTAGTTAGATTCCGTTGGCCTGTCTAGAGATGATTTTTACAGGCCCAAAAGCAATTCTACAAGTCTAGGCTGCTGGGCCTGTGGTTAAGCGTGAAGACTGTACTTTAGGGGGTCCCTTCCAATATTAAGGTATGCTCAGACATGACTCTGCACAATGTCAAATATATTGCTGAAATACAATTTCACTGTGTGGGTAGACATTTTTAACAAAAATCAATATATGAATGGGGTTAGTTTTCAAACCACACCCAGACGTCTGGATCCAAATTTGTATATTGAGACCCATGTAGAATAACTAGTCTGTATAATGGTCTGGTTGAACTTTGACTAATAATATTATTATTGACAGTTATGTCAGTATATGGTTAGAACACTTGTTCAATCCTATCTGACAAAACAATTAGATGTTATTTGGATATTTTTGTTGTTGTGTTGCTGTCGCATTGACCTACAACCAACATCTCTTTTCATTCATGTCTTAATTTGCTTGACATGTCAGAAGGTCAGACAGATTTCAAGACCTCTAGATCTGTGACTTGGTATGATTGCCAATAATACAACTATCCACCAAGGACCATAAAGATGAACATGTACACAGTGCATTTTTTGGGAACAATTAAAACTTCAAAATTAAATTGTTAGAAAATACTTTGATAGTTATAATTTTACATAATTATGTAAGAAAAATCATAAATTTGAAAGGAGGACCTGGTTTTGTTACCATGCATACACTTAGAAATTGCATAAGAGCTGTTCCAAAATTTATTGGTTGGGAGGATATGAGCACTCAAATTAACTAAATATGGGTGGCTGCATTTTCCTTAGAAATTTGTAAGAATTATGAAATATAAAAATTATGTTATTGGTTTTCAGGGTCTTAAAAAAGTATGGGAAGACAATACTAGCCAAAGAGCGATAACTCTTAACCCATTCCGAAAACTCAGGTTGTTAGACTTTCCATAAAAGTCCTTATATTGCAAAATGTCAAAATGTAAACAGAAGCGATAATACTTCTATCCTTTGATGATCTTTAAACTTATGGATGACCCAACTGCAAAAGATTGATACGATGGAATTGCTTACTGGAATAGCTTGAGCCATGAACTTTCAGACTTTATCAAACCACAAAAGAAAAACATCTGTATTAAGCATATAATACATTGTAAATCATATGGCTTTTTCAATATCACACACTGTATCAACCATCAATCAATATAATCCCTCGAGCTCTTTGGATTACTGTAAACCAACTAATTTTAATTTTTTTGTGAGCGATTTATTTTCAAGACTTTCTTGAGTACAAAAATAACGCGAATATAAATCGTCGTGAATATGTAAAATTTGGATCTTTCCTTATTTAACTACATAAAACAAATTTGAAAATCACGAAATTAAATTGCTGCAAATTGGGCTATTAAGGGCCAAATGTGAAATAAAATGTCCGCGAAAATAAGTTGGTTTACAGTATATTGGTATTTTGGGTTGATACAGTTGTGAAATTGAAAAAGCCATATATAATTCTATGTAATTTTACTTTTCAAGCTTACCCCACCTGAGAGAATGAGAGATGATCTTCCTATTCCAAGTCAAATAAAACAGGTATTTCATGGAAAGAGACGAAGAAGAGTTTCTTTCACTGAAGAGGAGACTCAAAATTTATTGAATGGAGTTAATAATTTTGGGAAGAGTTGGGCATTGATTCTTCAAAATTTTGAATTTCATGAATCTAGAACACAGGTTGACCTAAAAGACAAATACAGAGGAATTGAGGTAAACTTTCAATTGGTTTTCATATCTCCTCCCAAGGTTTATCTTTGTCCAACAGTTAACTGGCAACCCTCTGAGATTTGAGAGTCACAACATACATTACTAAAAATTGAATATCATTCAAGGTATGAAAGGAAACAATCACCCTGAATGTTTCAAGTAATAGTAGATGTTATACTCCACTTTACTGAATTGTATATTGTGATTTTTATGTCCATTTGCTTGCCCATTCATTTGTTTGTTATTCCTGCAAACTTAGTATCCCCGTCTATGAGGGGCTTATTTATGGTAGTCAAGGACGTTAAACCTACCTAGTGACCCACCTTTACATTGAAGTAGCAACTACTAAACTAGATAGTAGAGGGGCATTATGTTTTTCGGTCAGTGCATCCGTTCGTTTTTCCAGTCGTCCGTCTGTCCCGCTTCAGGTTCAAGTTTTTGGTCAAGGTAGTTTTTGATGAAGTTGAAGTCCAGTCAACTTGAAACTTAGTACACATGATCCCTATGATATGATCTTTCTAATTTTAATGCCAAATTAGAGTTTTTACCCCAATTTCACGGTCCACTGAACATAGAAAATGATAGTGTGAGTGGGGCATCCGTGTATTATGGACACATTCTTGTTTTATATCTTATATCATTGAGCAATCCTTCTTTTATTTTGAGATCTGAATGATTAAATTTTTCTTGATTTCCCACAGCCAAACATGGACTATTTTCCTACATTTAACAAAATTTGTGAATTCAAAATCTCCTACAATTTATTTAGGAATGCAACAAACTCACATGGTTGCAGTTGAATTTGTTAAAATATATATGCAAATATTAATATTTTATAGAGGTAGTGTATGAGGGTCTGGGGTTTTAGAATAGAGAAAAATAGGCCAAAAAAAAATCAAGAATCAGGGCTCACACTACTTCAGAATCATAGTGAGAAGTGACTTCTCTTTTTGAAACTGAGAGGGAGAAGTGGTGAGATTTGAAAGAGAAGTGCTCGTTCGCTCGCGGCGCTACAATGTTTGGTTTTTACTATAATACAAAGAGCCATACGTGTCTTATTTTTTTTATATTGTTCAATTTGTACCTGGGTATACAGTTAAAGTAACAGTTCAAATTCAAAGTTGTTGAATTTTATCATATCTAGTTGCACAATCATATTAGTCCTCTTGTCAGAAAAAAACAATTAAATATCTGGCAATAATAAAAAAGATTTTTTTAATATCAAAAAGGAAAAGAAGTTGTTATATCAATTAAAATTCAATTAAAAACTACTCTGTTATCATGTTTATGAAATTAAGTATTTCTCATTAAAAAGATATTTAAATTTAACAGTTTTATTTAACACAGTTAAGCTTGGACCATACCTGCCAACCCTCCCGTTTTGAGCGGGAGACTTCCCGCTCAGTAGCGAAATTCCGGAAATCTCCCGCTTGCCAGTCCGCTCCCGCACGGGAGTACAGAATCTCCCGCTTTTGGATATTATAACCTTGAATGACCAGTCAACATTAATTACCCTTTTGTGTCACTGATGAGGGTAGCTGTCAGTGGCGGATCCAAGGGGGGTGTGGGGGAGGTTCCGAGGGTTGGAACCCCCCATTTTGTTTTACGATCAATGCATTTGAATGGGGACATATAGTTGGACCCACCCCCTCCTTTATCCTGGGTTAGGAACCCCCCCTCCCCCCCCCCCCCCCCCCCCCTTTATAAATGGCTGGATCCGCCCCTGGCTGTTACCTGTAAATCACAGACCATGTGAAATTAAATGGCTTCACTTGACAGCTGGGGTGTCAAACATAATACTAATTCACGATCATTAACGACTTTTACCTCAAGCTTTGTGTATTTGAAAACACTTCCAAGAAATTTCGGGTTACTTCCCCTGTTTAATCATATTTTAAGTTACCCTCTTTAAAATAATGTGAATTGATAAAAGAATATAAATTAAATACAAATTGAACAAAGAATCATAATAAGGATGGTAATTTAGTGATTTTAAATGCCTTAGGACTAAAAAATAATTATATTTTGAAAATCTTTTAAGAGATCTATACTTCTATTCAATGTTTTAATTGAAATTTATAAGGAATGTATTGAACTAATGCTATTTGAATCATTACTCACAGTCACGTCTCAGTCATTACAACTGAACGGACGTGCTGGGTCAGCTATCCTTTACCCGCTATCTTCGATGAGGGTTTACTGTTAGATGGATCAACGACTTACTACTTTCGATGACAGAAACCAATCCAACGCTGTACAGACTACGTTAGGCTATAATCAGCGTAGGGCTAATTCCCGCGTCAACATACACTCCAAAACCCATTATGGATGGGGGAGTGGTATGCCGAGTGACGTCCGAGGGCTGTATCCTAGGTGTTAGATGATGGACCACCATTTCACTGTCTCACGACTTTGGTCCGGATAATGCTTCCTGTCATCGTTATTACTATGTGCGAGACTCATTGACCAGTACTCCATCATCGTGGTTAGCTGGCTGCCAAGCTGACCAACCTGGCCCTGAAAGCAGCCGTTGTGAAGTAAACAACAAAATAGTCAACAAACAAAAACAAAACAACTCATCAAATCCAAGATGGCGGCCTACCAAAATGGCGAATTCCAACTGTTCCTGTCAGACTGCAAAAATATTTAAACGCTCACCAATACGCCTTCGGGCACCGAGCCGACCGTGCGAGGGCTGAACAGCCAGTCAAGGTCGTTAAACACTTCCAGTAGTAGCTATTTGAATGTGAATGTGCGTACATACAATGCACCTTTAGGTTCAAAGTGATATATCACTTGAAACAGAGACATATCATTGTGATTTTCTGGCCTGATGGGACACTCATGTCAAAAATGATGAAAGAAGACAACCAACACAGGATATGAAATAATGTTTAACTATTAACTCTTATATGTGTTTTGTAGATGAATAAATAAACAGGTCATATATTTCACTTGAAAATGTCGTTCGTGCAAAATCTCCCCCTCAGCTGTCATATATAGCTGAGGGGGAGATCTCCCTCTTTGAAGGTTTCAGAGGTTGGCAGGTATGGCTTGGACATAATATAATTATATTAGTGTAATAGTCCCAGAGTTGAGCAACTTTAATTTATAAATTGAAACAATGCATATACATGGAAATATATACATTAATCAAGAAGATCTAACCAAAAGAATGTTAATGCTTGTGGAATGCGTAATTTTTCCTTTTGGGATGAATTTTCTTCTGTCAGCTGTGCCATTCATGCGTCCGTAGTCATTATCGCAAGAGTCCGGATTTCGGTCATAGCTGGTCCGTTTCTGATGAAATCCCGACTCCGATCCGTAGTTGAACAATAATTTGCCCAAAAATTTAAATGGCGGACGAAGAAAAATTTACAAAAATAAACGATGTTTGACACGTATTTGGAAGGGAATGTGGCGTTTTTAATGCAATATAAGGATAACCAATTTACTTCAGGCAAATTTCATCACTTTCTAATGAAGTAACAAGCTTATTTTGCCGAAAGTTAAAATGATTTGATGTACGCTCTGAGCAAGGACGTATATTTAACAAGTACTTGAAGTGATAAAAACATTATCTTTATGAAAATAACATGCAACCAACTTAAAAATCAATGCTTTAACCTTAATCATTTATGTCTTTGAATTTCTTTACTTTCAAATGAAAAATTGCTGTTTCATCGACTTGGTAAATGTTGAATATTGCCGATGACGAAAGCGACTGAAAGCGAGTATCGTGAACTACAGGGCGACTAGATATTGCTTTTGACGGTCGGGCAAAGCGAAGTGACGGACAGGAAAGCGACTTTGTCACCCCAGTCGCCTGCTAGCGTGAGCCCTGAGAATAGAGAGAAATGGCCTAAAAAATTAAAGAATACAGAAATGAAGGACCCCCATACAGACCCACTTGTATGAATATTTAGAATGAGAGGAAAACAAATTTGTATATGTTTATCAAAAACAAACATTAATTTGATAAGTTCTTTTATATATTTCTTTACAGAAAAAATCTGGTAAAATAAGATCTATCCAAATAACAGGGAGACGGAAACCCTTTTCAAGGTGTGAAGATCATAGATTATTACGTGGTGTGAAGCAGCATGGATATAACTGGAAAACTATTTTAGGATCGTTAACTTTTTCCAAAGAGAGAACTAGTGAAGATTTGAGAAACAGATGGAGAGCACTTCACAGAAAACACATGAAATCGTAAAGATGTCTTCAGCCTTATGCATTTTATGTTCGCCAATGTAAACTGTTGTATAGAGAATTTTGTCCTTGTGAGAATATGGTTGTATTTTTATAAGGATGGTGTTTTAAACACCTCCGTTTTTGCTTTGGGGTTTCATGCATTGTCTTTTTGTAAAGACTTTAAAATAACTTCAAAAAAAATTTAAACTTTCATAAAAAATGTTGGATTAGTTAAGAAAAACATACTAAACCATAGTTCAGCCACAAAGCAGAAACTATTTTCAGACTAGAACAGAAACAAAAAAATATTGTAATAAATTTTAATCTATCATTCAAGTCAGGGGTCCTGACATTTCTTCACACGATTTTGGTGATTTTTTAGGACTAGAAAGCCGTGATCTTTTATTTCAAACTGTCAAGTTCATACCGGAAGTCGCAACATAAAACAAACCTGTATCAACGGTTTTGCTGTATGAACTGCATTTAATTTCGTACCTAGAATTTCCAGTGCATTGATCAACAAAATGTGAGATTATAAAAAAAAATGCCATTTTTATCTACATTTAGCAACCATTAGAAATGTGTATGATAAAAAAATGATAGTACTGAAATTGTGACTGCTGTACAAACACAGGCAGGATGAACTGTTGCAAAAGAAACTTCAAAATTGAAATTTTTTTAATTTGGTAAAAATTAAACTAGGTTAGTATGTTCATTTAAAAAAAAATTTTTTAATCAGTTAACAAGATTGTGTACTTTGCATCTGTGATTGGTTGATCAGTGTCACCTACATTATTTATGAATCCATTCTTAGAGGTTATGTTAAACCATATTGTGATATTGTTATGCTATTATAGATTATCTTTATTCTTCAAGATTAAACTTTTGAATTTGAATTTTAAAGTGAGTTATGTGCTGTCTCACGTCTGTTTTTCCAGCTAAGAATGTTTTGATTCGTCAAATCAATATGACTGTTTAAGTGAGCTTTTCTCATCACTTGGCGTCCATCGTCGTCGTCGTTAACTTTTACAAAAATCTTCTCCTCTGAAACTACTGGGCTAAATTTAACCAAACTTGGCCACAATCATCATTCGGGTATCTAAATTAAAAAATTTGTATGATGACCCCGCCTGCCAACCAAGATGGCGGACATTGCTAAAATATCGAGCATATGGGTAAAATGCAAGTTTTGTCTATTATTTTGAAAACCGTTATAAATAGAGCAAATCTGACTGAAGGAAAAATGTTCAGAATGTTGAGCTCTACCAATTGTTCATATATATCAAAACTGTCAGATGACTTCTTATAGGAGTTATTGCCCTTAAACATACCTGCCAACTTTCAAGATTTAGGCGTGTACTACACAATTTTAACCCTTTGTCACGATTGCACGATCATGATCGTGAAAAAACCACTAAAACACGATTTTGTGAAAATTTACATGAAAAATATGATTGTTCCCGAATTTGAACTGTTCCCAAAGGAAGACAATCGTGATCAGCCAATCAAATTCTGTGTCTCATGATCAAATTAATAAGCCAATCAAAAAATTTCTCTTAAGATTATTCTAACATGCTAGATTTTGAACTTGTGTTCTATTCCTCTGTGAAGAATAAAAAAATTGTGAACATGGAAGGTTAATTTTCATCTGCAAGGAGGTTCTTAAACAGCTTAAGAATAAAAGCATGGCTGATTGACAAAATTTAATGATGCATTACTACCATAAAGATAATAAATAGTAGTTTATTCACTAATTTATTGACATTACACTTCCTGTAACATATCTCATTTTTGTATTCAATTAAATTACCAAATGGGGCAAATCATTTAAAGTACAATGTACTATACATTTTGTACTTCATTTTTCACAAGGACCAAACAAAAAGGTTTGGAACAAACCCCCAAATGAGGGGTATATCCCTTAAATGAGGGACTGTCCCCAAGACATTAAGACAAGGAGTCATTTTACTGTTGTAAAAAAGAAAAATTTAGATTTTTTAACTTAAAAGTGGGAAAATTCATTATATTTGGAACAACTTTAAAGTCTTTTCTACATGAGGGGTCCAATTATTTTTAATAATAAAGTAAATAAAAATCCAGGAACATTTCAAAATTCTTGGATATGTTTTGACCATACATGTATAATACCAGATAGATGTATAATTCTTTAGGAAAAGTTTCTTCAAATAATATAGATATGTGCTCATTTGTACTTAAAATTGGTTTTTAATGTCATTACATTGAGGGGTTACCCCTAATTTGGGGTGTTGTTCCAAACCTGATAAAAGTCCTTCTTTGTGCATAATTTTAAATTTTAAATGTCAACAATCATTTAATATCCTAACACAAGAAAATAAATCCTGGTCTTCTAACTACAGATTCATCTTTTCTACTGATATATTGATAATAACTAGAATCATGCTAATAAACTTAAGAAAATGGCTTGTAAGCTCGTCGTACAAATATGACACTTTTTCTAGACCACTAAACAGCACGCGCAAAATATGTTTCACGGAATTGTTGTCGCGCACTAAAACCCCCATGGGGAACTTTCAAAAGTTGGCAGGTATGCTTAAATGACAAATTTTACCATTTTTTTTTTAATTTTTGCCTATTATCTTGAAAATTATAATAGTTAGAGAGAAACTTTAAACTGCAAAAATTATCAGCAAGACAAGTTCTACAAAAAAGGTCAATGGTCGATATTGTCAGTCGACTCCTTATTAAAGTTATTGCCCTTTGATGACGATTTTTACCAATTTTTGCGTTTTGTCTTATATCTTAAAAAATGTAATTAATAGATAGAAACTTAAATAAGCATAAATGATCAGCAAGACAAGCTCTACAATTAAGACAACATGGTGGAAATCGTCCAACGACTCCTTATTGGAGTTACATGTATTGCCTTTTAATGGCAATTTTTACCATTTTTTTGCGTTTTGCCTTACATGATAAAAATTATAGATAGACACTTTAAATCACAAAAATGATCAGCAAGGCAAGACCTACTAACAAGTCAATTTTTGCCGATATAGTTAGTTGACTGTCACTCTTTATAGGAATGATTGCCCTTAAATGAGAATTTTTGTTTACCCTCTTTTGTATTTTGAGCAAAAACTAAAGAAGATAGACAAAAACTAAACATACTAAATGATCAGCATTACAAGATCAACAAAACAGAGATTTTTGTCATGAGTTCTATTCTCGTCTACAATGTTGGAGAGTGTCCTTTGTTGAATATGCACATAGACCAAGGTGAGCAACACAGCCTCAAAAGAGCCTCTAGTTTTTGGTGGAGGAAGCCGGAGCGCTGCTAGACATTACTTGTAAAGCAGTATTGAATACAAAAAATTCTGAATTTTTTAACCTGGGTAGGCATAATATTTATCAATACTTTACTCCTTTAATACCAACAGTTGATGTTAAAGGGGCAATAGCTGTCAAATTCATGTTCACTGATTTAACTCAAATTCACATATTTGATTTATAACAAAATTATAAAAAGTCTAAAATAAACAATTTACGATGCATGGACTCGATTATATGTATCAGAATTTCGTGTGTATTTTAGTTTTAGACACCATTTAATCAGTATTGTCATGAATTTAGAATGATAAGAAAATCAAGTTAAAATAAATTCATTTAACTTTTGATTTTCTCAAATAAATGTATTATCTAATTAGCCATTGAGGTGACCTCCGAAGTCTGCTGACAGTCATATAACCCAATATAAATAGATAGCGAACACAGGCAATTGGATTTTTCTAGGTTTGTTTTATTTCATATTATAGGTTGAAAAAAATATGTTAATCATCACTTTTTTACCTGTATAAGAATGAGTTTTTGTGGATCAACCGAATGGTTTATCCTTGTTTCACTTTCAATGTGGACATTCTTTTCCTTTTAATAGGTGAACAGGCCTAGTTTATGCGTAACCGGGTAAACCCATCTCTATCAAAGGGGTTAAATTGTAGGTCACATGAATACGGATTCAATGAGGTTGAGTTATTCACTTGCAAGTGAAAAATTCATCAGCGATGTTTTTAGCTTACTTCAACAAAATTGAACCAAACTGGCTACTAAAATCGAATTATTATTTCACTATTTCACTTTCATTAATGATTGAACAAAACAAAAATCATATTTAAATTTTTTTTTTATTATATCTCGTAGCTAATGCCCCTTTAAGTAAAAATAATGTCAAATTGTAATGCCTACCTGTGTTAAAATGAGCATAGGCATTAATAGATGTGGGTATATGTCAACTAGATTGCAACCAAATGACAAAAATAACCAAAAAATATCTTTTTGGCAACTAGATTTTTGAGATCTCACTTCTGTATCTTGATCAGTAGATTAAAAATTATACATTAAAGAACATACAATAAAAACCAGTACAGAAAAAAACGTTTTAAAATAATGGTTTATTAGATTAGATAAGTTTAGATGTTTTATAATGTGGGTATAATATATTTTGGGAAATAGCCTTGGCTCATATTTAATTTGGCAAAAAAAACTTTTGAGTAAAATGATCATTTTAGGCCAATTTTTTTCAATTTCCGTATGGAAATGACAAAGTTACATCACGAGTGCCATTTCTGCATTAAATTACTTAGATTATATCATGTCACTATATAGCCTTTTATACTGACAAGAGATTAAGCTATCAATCAATCAATCCAGATTATTAAAATTTACCTAATTTTGAGGGGGAAAAACTAAGGGGATTTCCTTATTTTTCCCATATCAGGGAGCAGATGATGGCTAGCTTCATTGGCATCAGTTTCTCTATGTAGAATGGTGACTAATAAATCATCAGAAATCCTGAATAATATTAAAAATTAGACATTGTTGAAAAGATTTAAAGTTGACATTTGGTAATATTGAGAGTCACATAAGTTTACTCTCAACCAAATTTGGGAAAAGATTCTCATTGGCAAAAATCTTTTTTATAAAATCCTTTTCACCAAATGTGACCTACCGATTTAGACTTATTACCGGGTTTGTACTAACATGAGCAACACGACGGGTGCCACGTGTGGAGCGAGATCTGCTTACCCTGCCGGAGCATCTGGGATCACCCCCAGTTTTTGGGGGTTCATGTTGCTCAGTCTTTGGTTTTCTATGTTGTGTTTTCTGTACTATTGTTTGTCTATTGGTCTTTTTCTTTTTTAGCCATGGCGTTGTCAGTTTGTTTTCAACTTGTGAGTTTGAATGTCCCTTTGGTATCTTTCGCCTCTCTTTTTTAAGCCCTATATAAATTCCATTACCCTAAACTTTAATGTAAAAAATTACCAACATTTCACATACATCTACAGACTACAGTCTTCATCAACTCTCAACTTATGAAACCATAGTTCTTTTGTAGCTTCGTAGCAGAGTTGGACAAACTCAGCTGATAATATAAGAGGGTCTTTAGAGAATAGAGAATAGTGGGGCAATACTACAGAAAAATGGACAGAAATAAAAGAATAGAGAAAAATAGGCAAACAAATAAAAGAGAGACAAATAGTTGACAAAAATAAAAGAATAGTGAACAATGGGGGGGGGGGGGGGGGGGGGGGGCACCTATTAATTTTGAGGTCACTTTGCTGAAGTACAGTCCAGTAGCTCTTTATTTTATACACACAGAAGAAGAAGTATACTTAACAACAAAATTGTTTTCATTTACCTGTGTATAATATGACGCAGGTTTCTTCAAAAGTGATGATTTTCTATAAATTGTTTGAAATTTCACAGTGATATCATACTTTAACTTTGTTTAAACCTGTTTAAGTACTTTTGACTTTAATTATTTATCCCTTGTAATTTTTTATTAACTGTGTATTTGCATTCAGGTGTCACAGGTCAAATTTATTCGTTCATTGTGTGTTAATTTACGTTTTTTGATTGAGTTAAGCCTT